GTCGGTGAAACGTGCCGGCATTTTTCCACACGTGTTAGAGAGCACTTAGTCAGTGACAGGGCCTCTCACATTTTCAAGCATCTGCAATATTCTGCACGTTGTCGCGCTTTGTTTTCAGCCGATAACTTCCATGTTTTAGATCACGCCTCTACCGGTTTTCAACTCAAGATAAAAGAGGCTATTCATATTCAAAGAGAACAACCATCCTTGAATCAACAATTACACCATGTAAATCTAAAACTATACTTCTAATTCTCACATTTTCATGCTTTATCTTTTTTCTTGTTATCACTATTTATCATAATTAGCATTGTTCTACTTACTATATAATTCAACTTCCAACGCTTTGTACAGTAATTAACTGAAAATGACCGAAGTTTCTGTCGAAACATGTTTCACAGACTTAAAAGTTTTGTTGCTTTCTTTAAATTCTTGACTTGCCTGCTAATATCAAGACACTTTAGTCATTTAGAATTTAATCGACAACTTGAACCCGACAGCAAGAAATTGCCAAGTGCTGGCAGAAACTTTGCACAGCTTTTCAGCTGCTGCTAATGGCGTGAAGGAAACCTCGTAGGGTGAAAAATCCTCTGCAATTTGGGAGATAAAAGAAAAAGTCACTGTTGTAGACTGCATGAGAGACAAATTGTTTTGTTTTACGTCCTCCAGTGTCAGAATTACGACTCAGTAAGTATCTTTCTTATCATTTGCATCTATTAGGGTCGAAAAGTCCTCTTGAATTTACACTTAGTGCAAATTAAGCAATCTCTCCAAGTCTACCACTTTTTATTAGAAAGAAAGCAAATGCAAATTACTTTTAGTCACTGCTGAACAATTGAACCATTCAATTATTCAGCGGTGACTAAAAGTAATTTGCATTTGCTTTCTTTCCAACATCGCAAGCAGCAGCCAAACCTGTGCAGAGAACGATTGCTTATGAATGGAGTCAAGAATTCTTACAATTTTCATCAATTAATAAGGTAAGTTACCATTAATCTTGGTTAGTACCTTAAATCTGATATTGGCAACTTAAGTAAAAAAAAGTAAATTGAGCACTTTTTGCAATTTGACTGTTCCTGGCAAAATGTTTGGCACTGAATTTGAATATCTTATGTTTCTGAGAAAATGATGAGCAAGCTTTCGACTGATTTCAATGGTAAACCATTTCATGCAGTATGGCGTAACATTGTGTGTAATAATTCACCTTCGCCCCTTAACATTTTGTACCATTCGAGTATCAGTTTCATCTCAGCTGGAAACAAAAACCGTAATTTAGTGCCACGACACGCCATGTTGAGCTCCATTCAAACTTATCTGCTTCTCTTTGGCATCATCGACAACTTGGCAATTAAAATAACACTGTGGGAGGAAATAGCTTACAGAGGCCATGAAAAAGAAAGAAACGAAGCGAAAAGTTCCAGTTTGGACGCATTACGACATTCTGTACTTCAACCCGAGCTAAGTCATAAGCGCCATTTTGCATGTTCAAGGCTTGCTTCAAGGGGCTATTTCCGTTCCAGAATGAGCCGCTACCCAAATGGCGTTTTTACTTTTTATCTAATTCGACTATATGTCAGTTTGGACGTGAATTTGAACGTCCTGGGAGAATAAGCTGTCACACTTGCGTAAGAACCATTGGTAAAATTTCCACACAGCCCCATACTACATTTTGCATTCAGTTCTTGGACAGAGAAGACAATGACAAAAACAATACATTGCCATTGGGAAAACAGATTTGTTTTACAGTAGTATGAGGCTGTGCGGAAATTTTACCGAACCATTGCTCGCAACCACCCATTGCTAAACTGCTGCTCTTGTGGGTTTATATATCATTTCAAGGGTGGAAAAGTGACACCAAAGCAATTCAAGGGTAATTTAGTGTTATGAACTGAGATGAAAACGTTAATTGGCCATCTTAGAGAGTTTGAAGGCTGACGTTTCGAGCGTTAGCCCTTTCGTCAGAGCGATTGATTGATTCCAATCGTTCTGACGAAGGGCCAATTAACGTTTTCAACTCAGTTGATAACTCTAAATTACCCCGTTACATCACGCACTTGATAGATCTCATCGTTACAACAAAGAAAGACCTCATCAGCATGGGCAGCGTTTTCGCCTTAGAAATTTCGGAGCACAATCGAATATATGCAATCAGAAGACTGAAGAACAAAAGAACACCACTTAAGTACATCAGAACAAGAGATAACAAAAGATTAACAAAACATAGAAACAGCACCATTTCATGTGGCTTTAGTTTTCGATGATGCAGTCGACATTCTTTGAGCTTGGCAGAACCTTTTTCATAACATTTGTGACGATCATGCTCCCTGGAAAGAAGTAAAAATAAGAAACACTCCAGCACAATGGATATCGAGCGACATTAGTATAAAACAGCTAGAAAAGAAACTCAACTTCTATTTTTGGGGGCTTTGAAGTGAGGCTGGACATGAAAGATATCGCCTAAATTTTCAAAAATAAATCCTTTTGTTAGGTATAGTGACTTGATACTCATAACCAACTCAAAGTAAATTATAACTGTAATCAAGCATTTAGCAATAAGTCAATTAAAATAAGAAAAATCTAGAAGTCGTACGGTTCGTCATTTATTTTGCCCTCGTGGCTTTAGTAAAGACGAAGTTCAGGCAAGAAATGTGCTGTGATTATATTTTTCGTTATTTTAATCAATCAGAACCAATCAGAATGATGCTACAATTTTCTTACCTTTCAAATCCAGTTTGTAATTTCTTTGTTACCAAGAAGGTGATAAAAAACCTTCTTTGTGACAGAAATATCGCTATTGATAACTCTATTGTCATAATTTGATTTCTGGTAGGAGAAAGGTAGATGACGAACCATGCTGAAGTTTAACAAGATTGCTTGCAAAAAATCACGCAGGAATATTCTGTATATGGTTGCATTGGTGACTCTTTCTTTACTGGTACTAAACTGGTACCTTTCAGGGAATGAGATACAGTGGAATTACAACAATTTTTCGGAGAATTTTATAAATACAACAGAGTCACCTTCAATTTGCTCAACGTTGTCTCTACAATCCAATGTCAAGGCCACAGATCGTTTATGTCAACCTCACAAACCGAGGAAAGCTTCCTGTATGTTTACTCAAGAACTTTACGCCATAAAACCTGAACTATTGGAATGCAAAGAGAAAAGTGCTGGGGATGTTTGCGAAATGAAAATCACCAGAACTAAGAAGGAAAGCAAGATTTCCTTTACCTGCAGTCAAACGGTATGTCGGGAAGGAAAAAGAGATTCTTTCAAAGTTCTAAGTGTGGATCCCGGAACCGGATTGGCGACCATTGTAAATGAATTTCACTCAGTGAAGACACTTGAAAGAGGACTACCGAACATTGTAAGAAGAAATACGCAAAATAAATTGAACTTTGTTTTTATCGAATGTACAAACCACCAAGGTGAGGGAGTGTCACAATTCCTTGCGGTCGACCCCGATTTCACCATCGAGAAAACAGAAACTGTGAGAAATAAAAATCACATCAATGTGGTCGTCCTCCTCCTAGATTCTATTTCTAGAGCTCACTTTTACCGATCTTTACCTAGAACAATCGCAACATTTCAAAACTGGCGAGAAAACTCAGATTCGGTTCCCGCAAATGTCTTTGATTTTGAACTTTTCCAGGCTCTAGACGGTCACACTGCTGAAAACACGCAAGCACTCTTCACTGGAAATGTCTTCCCGATTGAATTAAAAGGTACAACGCCGCCAGTTAATACGTCTGCGATGTTTGGGCATTATAAGAGAGCTGGGTACCATACAATGTATCAAGAAGATTTGTGTTGGGAAGGGATCTGGGGACTAATGGCTGATCATGGAGTAAGGCAATGGAGTGACCTTCAAGACAAGATGAAAAATACCTTCATAGATCACACGGGTAAGTTTGGATAAAGATTAATCCAATTTACACAAATAAATGTCAGTCACGTAGTATTCATTGGTCCTCTTCGCGAGTTTCAAACCTTTTTTGGTGGGAGTGATTAAAGGAACCGACTCGCTCAGTGAGATACTTAGTTTTTTTCTGACATGTGTTTTGCTATGGTTTTGTTTAAGGCCTGACGCATTCCAGTTGTAAAATCCTTTTATCATTGGGAGTAACAACTCCCTTCTTTGGGCCTTATGGGGACCAAATCTGCTATAATGGAAAGTTTCAACACTCTTACTTTCTTCGTTACACAATTGACACACTTCACGCTATCGGCAAGTCACGTGACGCTCGCCCACTTTTCTCTCACACTTCACTCAACGTCGCCCACGATCACAAAGGTATCCGCACGCAAACCCTGGATATCAGTTTGGAGAATTACGTGAGGGCCATGGCGAATGAGCAGAACACTTTAACAGTCATTCTGGCGGATCATGGAAACACATATACGGGATATAGTTCAGAATTTTTGGAGGGGCGCTTTGAGATGTACCATCCGTCCCTATTCATCATTGTTCCTGACAGAGTAGCGGCGCTCTTAGGGAGGAAAGCAATGTCCGCTCTAGGAGAGAACCAACGGAGGCTTGTCACCATAATAGAGTTACACCATTCTCTAATGGTGTTGGTCAACCCCCTATCCGGAAATGTTAAGCCAAAGGGGTTGTTTACACCCATCGCTACGAACCGTACGTGTGATGATCTGGAACTAACGCTGCCAAACTTGTGCGTGTGTGAGGGTTGGGATGCACCAGCAGATAATGACACTTCACGTATTCCTATCGCTGAGTTCGCGATGGGTCAGTTGAACAATCGCTTGGAAAATCAAATACAGAACATTTATGAACGATCCTGTCAAAGATTGCAACCGTTATGGTTTGAAAATATCCGAGAAAGAAACTCGAAAAAAGACGGAACTCTGATCACTTCGATGGATATTCGAGTTCAAGCAGGAGATGTTGTTCCTCAGAGGGAAGACGTGTTTCACGTGGTAGTAATGACAAGGGAAATGTTAGGAGAAAATTCTTTACAAATGACCTTAGTCTCTTTTGACCGTCTGACTTTATTTTTAACATACGCAGAGTGCGCCGATAATGGTGTTGACCTTAAATTGTGTGTGTGCTCACGAAAAGGAACACATAAAAAGTCAATAGTGACGTTTTTGTCAGAACACTGGGTGCATTTTGGACAACGCCCAGTTGTTAGAAAACTTAATAATACAAATTGTTTATGGTTGATTACATGGCCTTTTGCTAAAAACACATCGAACACGTATGAAGTAGCCAACTTGTGTTATAGTCAGACTTATCAAGTTAAGATATACGTGAAGAAAGTTTCTAACATAAAATTTTCTTGTGAGCTTCCTGTAACATTAATTGTTGCACCTGGTAATGTACTGTTTGCATTTTCAGTTCGAAAGCACATCAGTTATTGGAATACCCACATAGAGGTTAATACTGAGGTTGAAAAGAAATAAAGGTCATTGCTGACAATGACAATAGTATTTCATCAGCCTGTGGCACGTGCATCTGAAGTGTCTGTGGATTTCGCTCAAATAGTCAATGAATTACTTGAAAGTACCTGCCTGATAGTTTTAAAAAACAAAAGAAAGTACAAAAGTATCTGATAACAAAACTCGTGTTTCCAATGTTTTTTAACCTGAAGACTGGAAGTATTTCAGGAGGGAGGAGTGAAGGGTAAGCTCTTTCAATCATTAGTACAAACCAGGCAACAACAACGTTTAGACAAGCATATAAATTTCTTTCGCCGTCTTATTCTTTTTTTTAACTTATCCCATTCAGTTTATAAATGTTATATTCATTTTATGCCTTTCCCTACCAAGAAAAGATCGAGAAAAATCAATATCTAGAATTGATTCCAATGCTACTCATTATTTGAGTGACTTTTCTGTGGTCACTCTTTGATGGTCGGTGGAATTGAATTGAGTCGCACGTCATCTTGAAGAAAGCATGGCGGAAGTAAAAATTTGCTGTAGAACTTGTGGAAGCTGTTTGGTGTCCATACAAACAAACGCCCGTCCTGCTGGGAGCTTTCTGACCAGTCTGAAATGAAAAAAAGGAAAGAGTTTTACAAGAATGGGAAAGTCAGCTTTCACTAACATCAAAATTATGAGACACATCTACCTGTCAGCCTGATTACCAAGCGAACCGATGAAAATGGCGAATGCATGAACTCGTGCATCTGACATGAGCACTTTCCCAAAAGCCTCAGCGGGTATACCATACCGCTCGAGATTTGCGTCGCTGAGGACGACAACAAAGTAATCATCGGCTTCCTCTGCTGTTATGTGTTTGACTGCTAAATCTGTGCCCTCTAAGGTGTGGTCACCACTCCAACAGTACTGTGCATGTGCGTGCATCTTTTTTATGATGTTGAGGCGTTCCTTATTGTTCTTGGGCGGCGAATCATGAGACACGAAAGGAATCTCGGGAGAATCGCCCGAATGTCCAACAATATCATACTGAAAGAAAACACACCATACGGAACGTGTGAAAGGATTGTACCAGGTTAAATGGCTAAAACTCACATTTGCATAAGATAGAAAGACATGAACCTTAATTTTGTTATCGTACTGATGAAATGCTTCCATCACCAAACATGCAGCTTCCATCACTCGCCCCAGTCTTCCATCCAAGCTGTTAAACCGATACATACTGCCGCTGACATCAACTACAAAGCGAAGGCGCTTGGGAAGGCGTTGAGGAGTTCCTTGCTGAAATAATAAAGAACATTTAAAAGTTTCACAAAAAACCAAACAAGCATGAACACAAAGGACAAAACCCAGAGAAAAATGATTTGTAATTGGTCAGTTTTGTCTTGTTTTTTGTCCTGTTGGTTGTCATGCCACCCCTTTCATCAACATTAAGCTTAAGGGGGAGCCGATTCAGACACCGAGCACTCGTCCATGCGGCGGGCGAAGCTGCCTTACAAGGCTACTGACCTTACCTGACAAACATCTCTCATTATATACCGGGTGAATGACATTTTTGAAATAGGCCTGTATAACTAGTACCCAGAAAAGGCCTACATACCTCTGGGTTTTCATCTCCTCGTTTCTTGTAGATAGCCCTTTCTCCAGTCAATCCTTCGATTAACTTTCCATCGTCCAGTTCGCCGGAGGTCTGGTTCCGAAGCCAAACTCTTTCCTGCCCTGAAGCCTGCAAACTGTCAAGAATAACTCGCAAGGACTGGACCTGACGGCGAACACGTGACGAAAAAGATTCATACATTTTGGCATCGTACTCGCTCATTTGGATTTCACGCAACCTGAAAGAACAAAATACACTTATCAGTCACAACAAACCGGAGGAACATGGCTCTTCCTGATCGCACCGTGTCACCTTCATTTAAATAAGCAAAGCTGGCTGTTCCAGTATAAATATTACATGACTGAATAAATACATCAGCGCTTAGGCAGACAAAGTACTGAGGATGAGTCGAGCGCTAATTTACGAGTAACTATTACACTCAGGTCAGTAATCTTTTCTGATGGAAAGCAGTTGAAAGTTCACTACATGATTCCTCACTTCTGTTTAAATGCTCTCCGGCCCATCTCCCTCGCTGCACGTTTGACGTCATCAGGAACTGCGTCCTTCTCTTCATCGGACAACTGATGTACATCATGTCCGGCGTCCAATCGATATGGTCCCCCTTTGCCTCCGAGCCCTGCTGTATCGCGGCCCCCAGTTCCCCCAGCCCAAGTGTTCCCACCTACATGAGGGTCGTTGTTAGGGTCGACCTGAGACAGAGAGAATCAGTAATGTTCAGGATAATTGACGCAGAACTTTCCGCACTCAACTCTCAGTCTACTCAGAGTCTCGTCCGCGTCACTAAGAGTAAGTTGACTTACGGACCGAAACTCAGTGGTTTCCAAGCGAAACTATTGCAATCAGAAAACTTAGGTATTTTGATACAAGAGCAATAATAAAAGAAAACACCCCTACTTTTCCATGTTTTGGACTTGTCACATCTTCTCCACTTTCTCTCGAGTAATTAACCTACGGTGGAAACAACAAAAAAAGTCATCCATCCTAAGATTCAAACTGACTTCACCAATTCTCTCTCCCAAAGAAAGGACCGTACCTGTAAGGGACCTTGATAATCCTCCCCTATAAGTCCCTTCCATTTCTCTAATGACCGGACAAGGTTCACGACACCAGTCTCCCACAATCTGACACGGCCGGAAACGTCTACCGTCACAATGCCCTCGTATGTCGTTGGCGCCATAACTATAGGTTTTCCCGCTAATCTCGCGTATAGAGCCAGATCGCGACGGTCTGGGAATGGAATGTAGCGAACAGATCTGGAAAATAAGGTCAAAATGTGTTGCAAAAGAAAAATACATCATTTAAAAAGCGACGACAGAATAATCGTCGCTGGGTGGCGATCTGAATGAAATAAGAGTTACTCAAGGTTGAAACCCACCTTCTCGCTACATCGGTGACTTCTAAGTATCCCAATAAACTTCGCGCCCTGAACTGACCAGTATCCTCATCCTCTTCCATTGTTTGGCCGTCATTGCGAGGAACAGTCGACCCTGGGACCAAACGAACAACTTGAGCCGTGGTGGGAAGACAAAGAGGAGGGACTGTGTCCTCTGTAATAAGTTTATCCAAGGGTTTTACTCGCTCTAAGAAATTCAAATAAAGAAAAAGTATATAGTTACAGTACATTTCTGGCCCAGAAATCCGCTAAAAAAAGCCAAGGAGGAAAATGGATGTTGAATCTTAGCTAATTATAGTTAGCGAGTCACTGTACCTAAAAAAGGACGTATTTATCAACTTTGGGCAATATCACATTTCATGTCCAGCCTCACTTCAACAACCACAAAAATAAACTTTGTACGGCAACGCAAAGTGAGTTTCAGCTCTAAAAATCAAACGTATTACGACTTTCTCTGGTCATCTTGAGGTAAAATTAGGGAGACTTTAAAGTATGATGACGCACCTGACTGGTTAGATGCATTTCCCGTTTTCGTTTCTCTCTGAAATGAATAAAAACTAACTGGAGACTTTTCAAGTAACTGATCGGGCCGAGCCATGGCGACAGTGGCGTAATCCTCGGATCCGACCAGCAATCGATTACTTCTAGAGCCCTTCTCCGCTCCTACAAACGAAGTAATAGCTACCGATGGTAAGCTCCGAGTTGATATCGATATCCATTGTTGGTCGTCTCCTCCACTGACGTTAATGCTTTCAATTGGATGAAGGACACAAGGTACAGGGGCTTCTGGGTACGGCTTCGTCAGAAGGTACTTGCGGTCGGTCCCAGTCTCACACACAAGCCACAAATCACGTGAGAAAGGGTGAAACTGTCCAACAATAAATGGCAGAGTAATGTGTTGCGTTATTCCGTCAGCTACGTCTACCACGTCCATCTTGTTACTATCCTCCTGATAAACAATCACCATATTTTCATGCGAAAATTCTGAGTTCATCAGAAATTTACCCTTTTCAATTGCGAAATGTCGTGTTAGTTTCTCTCTGGTGTTGTCAACTATGGATTTGAAGTTAAGAGTTCGAAGTTCCTTTTCCGTAGGGTTCAACAGATATAGTGAATTTGAGTCCTGTTCATGAATAAGCACCTGTCCTTGTAGGTCGCCTCCTAAAGCGGCCATTTTCAACTGAGGGACTGCGTACTGAGAGCGGGGAAACACGTCATACATGTCCATGCACAATACTGAATCCTGATTAGTCTGTTGTGAGTAGAGCGAGACTGGGCTTATTGCTAAGACGTGGATCCAGTCCCCCTTGTTTCCTCCTGAGAAAAAATGAAAACAGCGCATGGTCATTCGAGAACAAGACGAGCGCGATTATCCTGGCGATTAAGCTTTTCGGGCCATCAAGAAACCTGTGGAATATTGAAACCCAGTTTTTCAAACTTTCGCCTGGAACGATAAAGGTTCGTGTATTAGCTGAGCCCACAGCATAACCATCTTAGTGTATCTTACTTTCACAAAGAAATTGGGTTTCACTCCTTACCAGGTCCCACAGCAGCACTCGTCACTACTTCTCCCTCATGCATAGGGAGATCCCAATAGCCAATTTGCTCCGAGAAGCCGAGTGAACGATCGTTACGGCGCTCGCACTCGCTGGACGTGACTGAAACCATCACCGGGCCCTAGAAACGATAAAATGTCCATAAACTGGCATCTCACAGTTTCAAACTATGCTCTTCACGTCATTGCATTATGGCGAGAGATTTCTTCTTTGCAACAGGACAACTCTTTTAATCAGATAAGATCATTTCTACCAATGACGAAAGGCTAAATAAATAGCCCGTTGGCTACGGATTTCAAGGAGACAAAGGACAAGAGTTCGCTGGTCCTTTTTGACACACTTGCGTGGAAGACAATGAATTTCCAGTTAAACTAACCCGCACTTTAAGTTTTCTTTCTTCCACTGGACAGTTGATTCCAGCACTGAAGCCATTCTCGTCCCCAAGAATTTTCCAGGTGGAAACCAGGGCTGGGGGTGGTAAAGGAAACCTGAACATGACGAAGAACAGAAATCAGAGACAAATGAAGATTAGTTTTTGAAGATAAAGTCAAATCGAAGGGTAATGATGTCAGCCTCGAGTTCAGTTTGTCCACAGGGTATGAGATCATAATAGAAGGTACAAACCAAAACGATACCAAAGAAACAAAGTAAGCAAACACTTCTATTTTCTGGTCCTTTATTTTATTTCCACTGGCGTCTTAACTGACAACGACTTAAAAAAAAAAAAAAAACGGCAGAAAAATTACATCTATTTGACAACTCAATTTGAGGTCAACGAAACAGCGCGGCAGTAGTTGAATGGTGGAAAATGTTGAGAGATTATGACATTGACATAGCATCAAACGATCTCTGATACTCGCATTAATAATAGTAACTCTTCTTAAAATTGAATTACACTTATTTTTGACTACTTAAATGGGCTACACCGAGCAAACTTAAACATTTTCGCCAGGAACTGATTAATGTCTCTTCTTTCTTACTCTTTTGACAAGCATATGTTTCTGCTAGAGGCTCCCACAGGGATACCATGCTTGTGAAGCACTTCAATCACCACCTCCTTCACTTCCGGGTGATACGAGTCAAAATCAAACACATTACGGACAACATTGGTCAAACCTTCTTCGGGAAAAGCCTACAAAATAAGTAAAAGTACTGTTATTTCACTTACTCCAGGGGAAAATAGTGCAAAATAGGAAGTGGTGTTCTAGTGGATATGGTGCTGTGCTCGAAGACTGCGTGACAAATTTACTTACTCTGTATAACGTGACACCAATAACATTACTTGACGTGAACTTCATCTCACCTGAAGATGTTTGACGACACTGACGAGTTCTCTTGTGGAGTAAGGATAAGAAATGAGACCCTGATCAGCCCGAGATCGTAACTCACCAAAAGCACTGACCAGCTTATGAAGCAATTCCTCTGGCACGTTAGCTCCGTATTTGCGTAACATCGCCTAAAGAACAAGACACAGGATACAAGAGCTGTTTAATAAGTGTTATTACACAAAACTGAACGCTCAGTTATAGAAAAATCCTCTGATATACGTTGTCTTTTCTCTTTCTCTTAGATGAACAAGGAAGGTTAAGATTCTTTTCACAAAGATTGACCAATTTCTCCTCCGATCCAAAGTATGGACTAGTAGTATCAAAGCTTACCATTTCTGAATCGAAGTCTGGATTATCCACTGCGTGACAACTGAAAATGTCACCTAGGACAACAGTAACATAAAGAGTCCTCAAAATTAGAGTTTATCATTGTTTCAACGAAATCAGCGTCTAAAAAAACAGAATCAAGAGCAAGACTACAAATAAAGAGAAATGAAGTTTGATATCAGATTGTCTTATTGATTAAAAAAAATGTTACAGCTTTTTTACCGAGAGATCCAAAAAAATCATTTCCCAAAAACGGAAATCCAGGTCGATTTGCGAGAACAATCATCCTGAAGTCAGGGTGGGCCTTGATAACATTCGTGGACACAGGAGTTGATTCAGCATCTGTCAAACAAGAATTAACCCTGTTAAACTTGTTGTCACCAAGTATGATATCGGCACACAGCGTTATGTCTTTCACTTACCCGTCACAATCCGTCTACCATCCCCAAGGACCATCATTCCACTCTCGACTAAGGACTTGAGAATACAAGTCACGTGAGTAGGTGCTTTGTCGGCCTCATCGACGACTAACACGTGACCAAACTTGACCGCGCGAACCTAGGTGGAATAAATGCAACCTCGCATTAAGTAAGCTGGCTTGAGTGCTGCGAAAAATGTGAGCAGTAAATTTCTTTCTGACGTAGTGCCTCTATAAGGGTAATCTTTCTTCCTTTTATTTATTTTTTTAATGAAATATCACCAGTACAGTTCATAAGATGACAGTTCAACTTACAAGAGGAGAATCCTCGTAAATTATCACTCCATCTTGAACATTTGGCTGTAGAGTAAGAGACTGAACAGTGGTGTCCCTGTGTTTGTCAAAGAGAATAAACAGAAAAAAACATATATTATGAATGATATAAATACTGTGCCCCCAAAACAGAAAAGAAGGTTCTGAGAGGACAAAGAACAACAGGAACATACAGGGATAAGTAACAGTACAGAGGGAGAGAAAGAAGGCTAACAGTATGAAGCCAGTCTTAGATGACAAACCTGTGCAGCTGAATGTATTCTCTTGGGCGATTTAAGAGGTGTAGGAATCTGTCAGCTATCTTGTTTTTACCAACTCCCTGGAAAATTGAAATAAAACTGTATTGGTGACAGCAGGTGATTTCATATGAATCCTCTGATGTACTTTCCTTCTCTATGATACGTGCAGTAATGAAAAGCTGAAAATAAGAAAACTCTATATACACTACTTGACTGCCAAGTTGATGGAATTTTTTTCCTTAAGATGAGAGGCTTTGTCTGTTGCATGCCTCACCTGATTCCCAACAAGCAACAAATGCTCTCCCAGCATGAAGTCTTTTAACATGTCTTCCATAACATTCAGATGCTGAAATAAGGAAACAAAAGTGATTCACATCAGCAGTGGGTCTCTGTTCAATGGAATGAAACCCTTAGTCACTTTACAACTATAATGTTGCATTCAAGGCATTCTTCTTTGAAAGGAATGAACTAGTTTTTAGCCTTACCTGTTGATTTTCATAAAATAAGACGTTAGGAACTTTAGTTCTATTTTCTGGGTTGTAAACTGGAGCCTTTGTTTGGCCAATGTGAAGTTCGTCATCTTTTATTTCACCTGAAATGGTCAAATCTTATCATCTAATGCAAATTCATCAAACTCACAATTTATCTATCTAAACCAATCCTTAGTTTCTAGTCACCTGTGAACAATAACTCTGAGGTAATTTATAAGACTGTTAACAACTCACAGACAAAATCACTGGCATCAACTGCTGTCACTTGTTCAATGGAATCTGTTTGGTTGTGTATACCAGAATCATTTAAAATTTTTTCTAGGGATGAAGCAGCTAGTCTTGGTAAAAACCTGCAGAGGAAATTTTGGTGTTATTTTGACTCTTTAAATATCCTACTTCTTGTTAAAAAACTGATGATAATTTATTTACCTTGCTAAACAGGCTTTGTGAATTGAGTGTTCCAAATCTTCAGCTGGATAGTTTGCTAGGCGGCGAGCAATGCGAAGTAACTGTCTAGTGGACAGTGATGATGCAATGGATGAGACCTGTGTCACATGGTACATCAGAGAAAAAAGTTATTGGGTTAACAATCTTAAGAAACACAGCTTACCACTTTCCCATATTAGGGCTTTAAAATAGCTATAAAAATATTTTTCATTTATAGTCATACACTCACAGTTGGATCTTTAGAGGACCTTAATTTTTCAGTGAGCTCCAGAAGTTTGTCCATAGCATCACACGAGGAACCTGGTACCTAGGGGAAAATGTTGTCAACATTAGCACTGTATTACAGTGTGATGCCACAAGGAGAAAGCTTCTTTCTAACAAAAAAAATATATACTCTATAGCATTTGAGCTTCTTTGAATCCTCTAGTTTACTTAAGATATCAAATCACCTCTAATAACTTAAAGCAAATTCAAATATCCGTTAGAGGTAAGAAATTTTCCTTGTGTAAATGTTTGCTGCCTCCCTTGTGTACACAATATCTTGTTTGAGATAAAAACATGTTTCAAATTGCAAATATTAAGTTTAAACAGAACCTGTATGGTCAGCCGCTTTAATTAAAAACTTTTTCTCACCATTTCATAAACAACTTGAGCTTCCTCCTGTTTGGAAAGTGGACTGACATGATGGAACAAAAACATGGACAGTAGTTCAGAGTTCAGCCACTGCTGCTGAGAGCTGCCAATTAAAGGAGGCTCAGCCAATCCAATGACACGGAATGATGGATGAATGCAAAAGATTCCCCTGAGAAAAAAAAAACAAAAAGGAAAGTAGTCTATAAATTAGCACCAGAGGTTTTCACTTCATAATTATACAAACCTTAAAGCTTATTGGTAATTGGAATGATTTTCTCTTGCCCAACAATTAATCACATCAATGCCAGATTAGGAAACTCTTCTTTTCCCAATCAAATACAAAAACTCCCTGAACTCAGGTTATAATAATAACATTTGCTTACACACAACTTAGAAAAAAAAAGCCATGAAATCTGCTTTGCTACTTCCTTATTGTCTGTTAAGACTTTATAATAGACCTTTCTGGTATTTAAAAAAAGTGCAAATAACACAGAAGTCAAGAACATCAGTCAACATCAAATGAAATAAGTGGTTGGAAAGTTAAGATTACCTTGTGGCCATTTCTTCATCAGACCAGCCATTGTATTCTTTAATTACTTGATATCTTTCATGGTGTAACAGCCTTGTTCCATCATACAGTGACAGTTCCCTCTCATTTATAAACCTGACACAAATTGACAAAAAAATGTTTCTGAGTATTATCCTTTTTAAAAAATCTCTCTAACAAAGTATCTGGGTGGACAAGATTTAAGGACACTTAAATTCTTTTGACAAGTAACATCAAAATACTGTCACACAGGCACATACAACCAAGAAAATAAGCACCAAAGTTATTTCCAGATATCAATTAAGACACATATGGCAATGATGGTGAAAGAGGCCATTCAATAATGTGAGGTTAAGACTTGGTTTTTGTCCCTCCAAACATGCAAATGACCTTCAACCTTCCAACCTACACTTACACCCATTTGGGTGAAACTCTGGAAAAATTTAACAAACTGATGATGGGTACCTTTGTAGTATGGCTAAAGTGCCAGGATTCACTCTGTGTATTCCATCCAACTCTGCGATACTTCCCTCCAACGCAGCCATCACAAGAGGTGAATACCTCCAACTTGTATCACCATTGGCTAGAGTAATACGCTGCTGCAAAAGATCCCTCCCTGTCATGTCCTGAATCATGAGGAAAACACATCAGTCATAAATAATGCTGAGTCTTGATACAAGTTAATAACAGGCTGAGATTTTACTGAATCAAGTTTGTTTTCTAAGCATTCAGTGTTAAACCTCTTTTTCAAAAACTTGGTATTTTTGACAATTACAGTTTGTATTCTTTTCACGTTGGAGCCTTCATGTACATGTATCACCATGAAGGTGCCTCACTCTTTTCTAAACTTGTTTCAAACTGGAAGCCAAATTCATAATTATTTGACTAGATATGCTGAATTACACTATCCCCAAGTCCAAAGAACTAACATAAAACATTCACAATTTTATACCAAGGACCAAAATTGTGGAACTCTCTGCCCTATTCAATAATTGAACTTAACAATATAAGATCTTTCAAACAGTTACTTAAATCCTATTTAATTAGTTTGTAAAATATTAGATGAATTTTTTAGCAAGGTTGTTAACATTAAGTAATCAAGTTTTCTTAGTACTTTACATTTGTTAAATTACGTTCTATATTCTAATTTAACATCAACTCTAATTTAAAGAGGGAGCCTCACCTACAAGCCTTCATGGCTTCTTGAGACTTCCTCACCTTTTAATTTTCTATTTAATATTTCCCATGTATTATCTGTGTAAATTAGCTTTGTTCCCCTTTTAATATGTAATAAAGGCAAATGATACATAAATAAATATTAAGATTAATTGAGAGGAGTGATCTTTGCCATACCAAATAGCAGCATCCAAATATTTTTCTTGATATAGCTAATAATATTATAGATAGACATGGTTTTTACCTGATATATAACAACTGGCTCAATATTGTAACCCAGAAAATTGGCAAACTGCTGCACCAGCACACTCTTTCCACAGCCCTTTAGAAAGAATTCACAGAAATTACTTAGTTTATAATGAAAATTTAGAGCTTTTATTAGCTTAGCCCCAATGCTATATGAGCTAATGTACTATGACTAAACTTCAGGGCACTAGTATGTCATCAATTCTATCACAAGCTATTTTAAGGTAAAATGCACCTAACCATAGCTACTGATATTCTCTATAGTCATGATGATGATCCAAAATACCCTCAAGACGGTAATACTTGTTCTTTGCCAAGGATGAGCTTCCAAACATAAACATGCTCAGTAAAGATGAACAACAGATACCCTGCTAGAAAACTGTGTTCAGATACATACTTATAGAGAACACAACAATGACAAAAACATGTTTAACTGTCCTGAACAAATGAAGATACAAACTGATGCCTGAAGTATGATTCACCTTGGGTCCCACAAGACAGAAATCATGAACTGCATGAGACTCAAACATGTCTGATAATACTTTGGAATGTGACTCGGTCATGACTAACTGCAAACAGAGAAAAAATAAAAAATACAATTATTAGTTTGGAACTTATGATGCAACATTTCAAAACCAATTTGAAAGGCAAGACCAAGATCAATACCTTTGATTCATCTGCTTTGTGACTGTTTGTGACTTTAACTTTCCTTCCAGCATGAGTCTCAAACACTGTGCTTCTTTTACCTCTAACAAGTTCAACAGACACCTTGGAGATGGAAGGTGGAGTGCTTGTGATCTTATTTATTCTACCAATTGAGGATGATAAGGATTTTTTTTTATTTCTGTCATCAAGATTAAAGGTCTGGAAAAAGAAAGAAAGGAAATTGATTGAAGTGCAAAAACAAATAAATATGCGACATAAGAATGACTACTTCTTTTAATACCATATAAGCCTTTACTAGATATGCCAATACTGTGTACAAGGTAATTCACTGAAAACACAGCAGTTTGTCATGTCAGCATCTAAGCAGTCCACTCTCTTTCTCGTTTTTTATAAAATCTCAATTATTCAAAATTATTTAAGATTTTTTCACTGACAGCATTCTGTGGTGATGACATGTAGATTATTGTAAACATTTGAATTGGTGCTTAAGATGTTTGTTAGACTGTTGTAAAGTCTTTCCCTTTTGAAGAGACTGCTGCAGCAGGCTTTCCTGTTAAAACACCTATGAAAAAAGGATCAATTGTCTGACTGTTTGCTTTCACCTTTAGTGCTTCTCTGACCACCTTCTGACCTTCATCACCAAGAATGAGATCATAGGGATACAGTCTATGGATAAGTTCCTCTAATGAGTGCTGTGGATTTATATCCTGCAAAGAAGAAGGCAGACAATAGATATCAAAATTCAATTTTATTCAACACTGAAATAAAATCCCTTCCAGTTATGATTAAGAGAACCAATCTAAACTTTGCGCTCTTTTTCATTCTCTTGAGCACTTTTAACACTGAACATGGGTTGGTGAAGGATTGTTAGCAACTAAATTAAATCCTTCTGGAATTAAATTCCTCAATTTTCTTGTGACTCTTAACCAAAGATGTCAATCATCAAAAAGAAAATAAATTACACACACATAGGGCATGTACAAAGTCTTGTCAGTAATTACCATAATTCTAACAATATCTACAAGATTATGAATGGGAAAATCTGGAAGTCCAACAGATGCCAGCTCTGTAGATTGTAATGTGTGTGCAAAGGAGGACAGTTGGGCTAATCTGTGAAAAATGAAAGAAAAATTTATCAATAAATATAATAATTCAATACGACAAACAAAAGAAAATATATTTTCTCTGGTTCTACTTATCACCACCTGGAAAACATAACCATAAAGTTTAATCATTATAATAATGTTAATAATAATAGTGGCCTCACAATGCAGTCACTTTATTACTAACAAACCTTTCTTGGGGTAGATTGGGGCATGACGATTGAAGGACAGCAAGCTGATCCTAAAAATAAAGTAACCCAATTGTCATTCACAGGAAAACAAAGTAACAACTCATGACAGCATCAGGGACCCAAGATAATTAAAAATGCCCAAGCTAAAACTGGGGAATAACTGGTGACACTCCTGGAGTACAAAAAGGAAACATAAAATAAAGTAAGTGATTAAACAAAATGACTCGTCTGACCAGAGCTTTTCCAGATTTTATAGCATGAAAAATTGAGAGAGGAATTTTTTACTCTCCCCTGGATGGGGCAGATTCTCTCCCAGACATTTTTTCATGTTTCCCTTGACAGTTTGCCAAAACAGATTTCTCTCTACATTCCAGTGATATCAATGTTTGTTGGCTGCTTGTTTTCACTTTATAACCATTCAACTTTTTAGTTGTTTCAATCTCAATGTTAATCGTTCAACCCAGGAACAAACCTTAAATGGTAACAGATGAATGTCTCTTGCTTGGAATCTTGACCTAAGAGGAGGATCCAGTGGATTGCCATGGTAACGAGGCACAGGCAACCCAAGAGCTATAACTCTAAAGTCTTCACTGACTCTCACAAGCTTCCAGGCATCTAACTCTTGTCTACTATGTTCCTAGAAAGATTGAAATGGAATTTTTCATGTCTTCTTCAAACCAGACAAGCGAATAAAACACAATGTTCCCTATTTTGACTTATACTGTGAAAAAGTTCAAAGACATACTTTTAAAAGAGAGTCATATCTCTCAGCAGCCATAAGAAATCTTCCATCCTCTAACTGCATCTCCCTTAAAAGTATATAAGGATCCAGTCAATTGTGCAATTACAAAGAAATAGAGCAGTGTCCACAGCTCTCTTTATTGCTATTACTTTTTATATTTATTAGTTATTTTAACACTAGATTATGAAGACTTTTTCAGGCTGCATTCTGAGTTATCAGACTCTTCTGGGTCTTGTAATTTGGCATTATTTGCATCTTTCCTCAGTTCTCCTTCAAAGTACCCTGCCCTTGCATACTTGTCCTAATAAAGGATCCTGATCCTACGTAAGAAACACCTACAATTCATCTTCATTCAGATTCATTAATCAAGAGAGAGAGAAGTACTACCACATTGTGATTCCACCCCACAACAATAAATATTACATTCAATACATATTCACCTGTTTTCCAAGAGGTTGTTTAACACAGGAAGTACATTACGCTCAGCTTTTTCTATCCCCTCCAGTATCAGCACTCTTCCCTGAGTTGCAGCACGCACAGCACATTGATCAACATAATAAGCTGATCCTGCAGTAATTTCCCTACGCTGTTTTAGATCTGACTCAGTTGTGTCACGAGATAATGCAATGTACTCAACTTCACATTTGGTCAGCTCCTGTGAAAAAAATAGCACAGAGTATTGACAAATAATCATCATCAATAATCATAATATTTCAGTCTAGGATTTCAAAATATTCAATTTTTGTTTCTTTGCAGCAGACAAGAATTAGAGCCACATATGAAAACTCAGTAAAGTGCACAAATTTGTAACTAAGCAGAATACCTATATCTTAAGACAGAAAATGTTTCAAAAACAACCTTATATACACCTTTATTAATTGCAAAAATAATAACTATTGATTTTTTAAAAAATATTACAGTATATGGGAACTACGCAGTAAACAAAGTGGTATGTGACAAACCAAGTATTGCATAGCCAGCAGTCTTCTAGAAGGTCCTGGAGGTCCAATAAGAAACACATCCTGGCCTAGTTTGTCCTGTTACAAAATAACATATCCATTATAAAAAGATGTTTTTCATCTTGTCACTAGTGTGAAATAATGAAAAAATTCTGAGTCCCCATGAGGAGCCACACCTTAGACCTTCGGATTTTGTGTTCCAATGCTCTACGACTGACTCCACAGTGAGTGAGGTCTAATATGAAGTTCATATGACACATGTCCTGCATACTGCTAGGATCAGCAATGTTGATAACATAATGTTTTTAAAAGGAACAATTTTTTGTCTTGTCCCTTGCTCATGATAAGATGAAAAAACATCATTTTCTATTTCTTTACCAAGCTCAAAAACTCACCATATCTCTTATTCTATTTACAAACATTTTTCATTGTCCCATGCTTGTGGGAAGATGAAAAAACATCTTTGTCTATTTCTTTACCTAATTAAATGAACAGTCTCACTAGAATGGAGTCTTTTTGAGTGTTCATTATTAATAATAATAAACAACTTAAAATTTAATCATGAAAATTTCAGCAAAGATTGATAAAAAGTACTATACAATGGACATAGAGGGTCCTAATTTTACCAACTGGCAAATCATTGACCTCCAAAATTATTTCACTTTACAAATAAGAGACACTAATTTACTCCTAAGAAAACAAATCCTGAAACAAACTTCTCCAAGTCACCTTTTGCATGATCCATCGCAGATTCTTTAGGACTGATTGGGGAAGTTCTCCATTAACTAAGGAAAGAAGATTACAGGGAAAAAAACTCAATCTTACCACAAAATTACATTTGATTATATCAGGAGGTCTTTATCAAAATAAAGGCAATAGTTTTTGTTTGATATACAAACATTTTTTTTTCAAGATTTATTGGTACAATTACTCACCATACTTGACTGGAACTAACTCAGGGGAGGATGGTTTCCTCAACTTCACACTCACATCTCCAATGCTTACAACTCCGTCTGTATATGAAAAAAAGGTTTTACAATTTTCTTGACATCTCTTCTTAACAAGGGGTAGATCTGTAAAATTTTATGCAATGACTCTACAGCAAGTAAGAAAGTGCCAAAATTGCCTCACATTGAAGGACCACATAAACTGGTAAGCTATTGGCACGCTGAATTTAACAATGTGCATTTTGGCTACTTGAAATGTGCTTGAAGGCAAATCCTCAAATTTTAACTTCTGCCTCCTTAATTACAGGGCCCTGATTTAGGATATTACATGCACTAATATGTCAGTTACTTAGTTTAACATGGCAACTCAGGGGGTGGGAGTGGGGGTCACACCAAGTCCACATGGGATTTGTAACTAAAACAATTTGAGGTGAACATAGGAATAAAATTGTAAACTGATCAAGGCATAAACAGAATACCCTGCCACTTTGGTCCACCTCATTTACATGTGTCGGGAGGCTTTCAAGAACAAGGCGTAACACAATAGACGCTATTCTTATTCAACGACATATAAATGAGTGGCAGGGTATTCCGTAGTTTAGCCCATAAACGAAAAAAAATGACTGTTGGGTCTACCTGCCTTCATCTAACTTCTTTATCATACATGGCAGTGGTAATTTAAGATTCACTAACACGACTGTATGTGGTACAAATTGAGTCCTAATATAAAACATTATATGTTAAGTAGCCGAGTCATACCTGAACATAGCGGTCTGAGAGAAACTTTGAATGAGTTTGCCAGGGAACTTAGACGCTTTGCAGCTTTGCCATTCGACATCAACAAACATCTAAACATCTGTAGGCAAAATATCTCTCCTCTACAGGGTACAAAGTTTGGGGAGACTCAAGAACAAAATTATGACGTAACACTTGTTCAACAACCATTCGAAACCCTTCACAGACCGTAAGATTAGAAGATCTTCTAGGCAAACGAATACTTTAAAGCGTCAATGTAGCTATGAAGAGATCGGCATGATCCTTGATTTCCGTATATTCACAGGAATAGAGCCTTAAGACTACTTCGACCGCCATGATGGATCGCTTGACATCAGTGAGAGACTGGAACCTACTTTTCTCATTATTCTATTTCTCCTTTGCTCGTTTACACTTTCTAAATCGCATTCCTCGATGTGTTGACGTAGGGTGGTAGTTGGGATTTTTATTTTGTTTTATGTCTATTCGTACACTAGATTATTTTGTTTTGTTTTGCTTTGTTTGTTTTTATATTTATTTAAAGGCTTTATGGTATACCGAGAGAAATTACATTACTTGTCAGGAGCCCACTCTGCCTCCTGACTCGTTCAATATTTTGACACGCGTCACTGGTGAATTTAGCGTGACTTTATACTCCATTGAAATATTGGCCTTTTCTACATTGTTTACTCTTGAATGTATGATTATTTTCGCTGAAACATAGATCCATTGTAGGTGCAACAAATTTAAAATTTGAAGTCCCTGCGAAAGAGCAGTTCCTTCGCCAACGTTTTTCGGGAAATGATACTCACACTAAGAGTAAAATAATACGCTGTCCGTGAAAGTGAGTTTTTGGTGGAAACGATGGAGATTTATCTTATGCTTGTAAATTTTCTATTCTAATGAGTCTTTTTTTTTCAATTTGCGCGTGGCAACGAAACAAATAATGAAGAGTAATCATTTCCGCTTTTCATTTCGGAATCATGGAAAGCAACTGCTTAATACAAACTGGACGAAGTGTCACAGCATCATGAGGCTAATTCACAAGGAAGTGTAGCCCTTGTTGCATTCTTTGTAGAGGAATGATGTTCACTTAACGGTGAAGTTCATACTCTATATTTGGGTGTGATCTTTAAAACCGGAAGTGGAAATGTGATAGCACTCAAGCCATGGAAACCGCGCCTCGCTGCAAAAACTTCAATATGGCGTGAAGATGTGGATTGCGGAAAAAGCAGTGTATCAGTTGCAAAAAAGAAACACTTTCCATGAGGGGTTTTCAAGAGTTAATTGCTGTTTTAGATTTTGGTGAGGTAAAGGACACGGACAGCCTATTGGGGTGACCTGGCGAGATTCGTAATGCGCAAAATTCACTCAGCGTCATGTTCCCTCCTTTTGTTGCTCATCGTGGGTTCGATGGGCCCCACCTGGCAAGAGAAAGTTAAAGACAAAGGAAGTTATAGTGTTCCTTTGAGGCGAACGAAACGAGATCTACGAGATAGCCGAGGGAATCCAACTGAAAATTTGAAAGGACGGCCTGGGCAAGGATATTACATATCGACGGATCTTGGGAGCCCTCCTCTGAGAGTGAGTAAAGGAGATTTATGATTATATTGAGTGTCATGAGTCCGGAACAACAGCCTCTTTCTTGAGAAGTGTGAAATTCCCGTTTTTTACTCTATTTTTGACAAGAAATCTGCTTTCACTTGTTCTGCACGCCTTTCACGTTCGTAACATTTGAAATCTTGGCCTTAGCTTTGCCACCGAACGAGCTTCAGGCTCTTATTTGCATGTGAAAGTCATCAACTTTAATTAATGAAGCTTTATCGATAGCCTTTCCGATTTCAGCTTAATTTTTCTTATTTTTAGCAAAAACTGTTATTGGAAAATTTCAGTAAATAGAAAAGAGTGATGAAGCAGCTTGCGTCTTTATCATTTTCAGTTTACCATATGATTGGAAAAAGTTCAGAACTAAGCAACATTATGACGGAGAAATTCATAACATATTTCTCTCTCGTGATCAAATTTGAAGACTGATTTATTTCTGGGAAGATAACCTTGGTGCATTTTTCAAAATCGTTTGTTATCAAGTTGCCTTTTTGTTGCAATTGTAAAAGCAAATTTGCGATTAAGGTTGTTTGGGACATTTACGGGTGATAGCAGACTTGAATAAGTTCCCCCGTATTTACACGAATAGACGTGCAAAGGCCAGTTACTCAATATTGCACACTCTATTCTCGTGCAAAACGAGTTGGAATATTGTTTCGTAAGGATGAAGAATTGTAAAGTATCATGAAATACGTGAGTGACATTTACGACCAGTATTGCGCTTCCAATTTCGGTATGATTTTGAGTATAAGAGTGTCGTATCAGCTGGGGTATTTCGTTACAACATGAAATAAAGGGATTCCACACGAAAATATAAACAGATGTAGCGTTAGAATTTTTTGAGATCAAGTCATGATATATTTTTCTTCCAGGAAAAATATTAGGTTAGCATAATTATGTAGTTTTATTTTCTTATGAAAACATGAGGGGATCTCTCTGTAGTTAACAGAGCTCAGATGAAGTAAAACAAAAGTACAAAAGCCAAAACGAAGGATTGAATGCATTAAAAACTAATCCCAATAAAACAGAACAGAAATAGTGGTTAATGGTTTTAGATAAATCACACCGCCATTGACTTTGCAGTGTTACCTCAGGCCAAAACAAGAAGTCAGTCTGAAAATTCATTTTAATTTATAAAATTATACATTTCTGTTCCAACACAGAAAAATAATATTACAATATTTAGAACAGTTTGGGCATACAGAAGGTTTGCAGGATACTGCCATCGACTTTGGCAATTCATTTCTTCCTCCATATCTTAATCATGAGATTTCATTTAGTGTCACCATGTTCCAAAGTGTACTCAAAAGTTAACTTGATAATTGGAGTAGCAAAAGGGGGGGAAGGGGGGACATGTGGTGATTCCAGTTAATGTACAATGTTTACAAAGTTCACATGTCCCATCCTTGGTAGAATCTTACAGAATTTCTATGTGGGCAATCAAATAGGAAATCACAAGGTGGCAGAATGATCATCCAAATGTTAACCAATATTGTCCTAAAATCTTTTCAGATAAATGTCCTTGTTGATACTGGAAGTAGTAATTTTGCAGTCGCAGCATCTCCACATCCATATCTCCCCTTCTACTTTCGTACTGACAAGTAAGTAATGCTTATATCATCTTCATGTTATGTTTTTGGAGGATGAATATACTTAATACCTATGTTTATTCTATGTTTAATCTCTGTAACATATGACTTCCTAGTGTCTAAGTTCTTAGATTGGAGTTCAGTGTCCAAAGTTGCCATTAGCCATAAAGAGGTGAAAATAATATTTCAAAGTTAAAGTTAACCTGGGCACTGTATGCGAAGGGGGAGAGGGAAGGGTGCAGGAGGGGTTTATGGAAGACATATACAAAATCTTGGCTAAAAGTTAGAAGTCAACTAAGACTCTTTGCTAAAGACTACATTAGTAATGTTAAATAGTATGACATAATATTATGAATTTGATGCCCTTAAAACAAATGCTGTTATATTCTAATAATTGCTGGTACCATGCAGTTCTGACAGTAAAATTTATTTGAAAGGAAGGTGTAAGGTAAGTGAAAACTTGCAAGTTAAATGTTACAAATATGTCATATTTGAAACATTTTTACAGGTCAACTTCATATCAAGATCAAAACAGACGTGTAGCAGTTCCATATACACAGGGAAACTGGGAAGGAGAGCTAGGATCTGATTTGCTACGGTTTGTTGAAGGACCAAATGCTACTGTTCGTGTCAATGTTGCAGCCATTCAGTCTTCAGAGAATTTTTATATCAATGGTTCTATGTGGGAAGGAATCCTGGGACTTGGCTATGCAAGATTATCAAAGGTTAGAGATTTGATTCTTTGTTGTTCTTACAGAATGCTTTGTTAGTTTGTGCAGCATCAATGAGAAATCTTCAATACTGCTGATGGACACATAGTCAGTGGCATCTTTGTATTAAGTGGAGGTGATTAGGTTGAGTCTTATCTTTCCCTTTACACTCCTTTGTTACAGTTATTCAAATGTGAATTAGAACTGATTAGACCTAAAGTATTTTTCTTTGGTGTAAATGTGGGATATCATGATAAATTAGCTAACTCTGTGTTTCTTCCCAGCCCGACTCAAGTGTACTGCCAGTGTTTGATCAGTTTGTTAATGCTGGAGTTGTCAAGGATTCTTTCTCGATGCAGTTGTGTGGCAGTAGTGAAATTGACCTTTCTTCTGAGCCTACTGTTGCTGGAACAATGGTAAGTTTTAAATGGAATCTAAAACAATTCTGTTCTAGATGTAACTTTTCTCCTCTGTGGATTTCTTTTTGGTTAAGAATGTCCTTTCAATTTGTTTCTTGTGTAACAGGTTTTTGGGGAAGTTGATAATGAGTTGTATGAGGGTGATCTTCTCTTCACTCCAGTGGTAAAGAAATGGTACTATGAAGTTGTCATAACTGACATAGCAGTTGGTGGGGAAAGTTTGGCCCTGGATTGTAAAAAGGTAGGAATGAAATAATATTTGCTTAAGGTGTTAGATTCTTTTGTTGCACTGTCTTAAACCTATCAATAACTGCAGATCAGCTACTTAGAGAATAACTCGTCTGGTGATGTCAAGGACTCCCTGGATGTCTTTTTGGGGGTATCTTGTTTATGAGTAAATTAAAAGTGATGCAGCTTCAGCAGTTTATGTTCACCTGGCAATGCTGGGTAACCAAATTTGGAAGCATTTCCCTGATTTTTTTTCCTGTCTGTCATATGCTTTATTAATGCAAAACACATTTCTTTCAGTACAATTATGACAAGACAATAGTGGACAGTGGAACAACAAACTTAAGAGTTTCAGAAGAAGTCTTTGATGCTATTCTTGATAGACTCAAGAAATTTGACAAGGTGAGGTTATTTGATGTGTTCTTATTAGAAGGCTCAACAAAACAAGTTTTTCTTCTTAAAATGGAGAATTATTGTTGAACTCTTTTCATGTAACTTGAAATTTTGCAGCTGGGTGTACCAGATGAGTTTTGGATTGGTCGACAGATGATGTGTTGGAATTATGACAAGACTCCTTGGGAGGAGTTTCCAGATATGTCCATTTCACTTCTTTCCACCATTAGTAATTCCAAGGAATTCAGGCTCAAGATACCTCCCCAGGTAAATAAAAGTTTTTTGTTACATTTGATACGAAACCTGGTAATCAGAGCCAGCTCCTAAACCACAGGTCTCCTTTTTTTCAGTGGTATAGTTTCTGACTTTTTATGTTATCATAAGTGATGATGATCTTTCTTACATTTTACAACACTTACCTACTAAACTGTTTTTTTACAGCTTTATCTAAGAGAGACAATCGAACGTGGTCCTCTTCCTGGACAACACTGTTATAAGTTTGCTATAACTAAAGCTGACAAAGGTACATAACAGTTTTAGGTAGTTTTCTTTATCATTTTGGTTATTTATAACTATGTTATTTATAACTATGTTCATCAATCAGTTGTTGTTACACATTGTTTGTTTGCTTGTTTACTTATGTCATTTCAGGAACAGTGATAGGTGCAGTAATCATGGAGGGATTTTATGTTGTCTTTGATAGAGAAAATGTCCAGGTTGGCTTTGCAGCTACAACTTGTGGAGGTATCAATTAATTATGGTTCATATGTTTCCTAGGTTATAAAAGCTAAGTTTTTCATTTGTCTCACAATGTAGTCATGTGTGATGTAGATTGTGATGTTTCGACTGCATACTGCTAGTCTTCTTCAGGTGATGAGGTCAACTGGTCATGCGTGATCTTATAAAGCATGATGCTATGCTGTGATTAGTTGTTTTTCTACAGCTCTGATTGGTGCATTTCGATCCTTGCTGATCTGTGATTTGCTCCCTCGGCGGTTCGCTGTTGCACGGTTCTCCTGTTGTTGTGCTTTTTGATCGTGGGCATCCACGCTTCTGGAATTTCTATTCCACTATCCCTGTTGATGTTGTTAGGGTGAAGTCTTGTGTGAATTGCCTGTTTGACCCTGCGTGTGTAGTAATAAGGGTCATGTGTTTCAGATTTTGATAGTGAATAAAACACAAGAAAAATAAAAACTGGTTTGCAAAATTTTGCACCCCCAAGGAAAAAGTGGAACAACACATGTGACTGCTTGAATATCTCATTCTGGCATCAATAACTGTTTGTGTAAATAGAATTAAAGAAGAGGTGAGTTTTGAGCTCAGTAAAGAAATAAAGAAACATGTTTTTCTTCTTGTCGCACATGTGTGGGACACTGAAAAAATTTTGAGTCCCCACCAGGAATTGAACCTTGGACCTTTGGATTCGCACTTGTGACAAGAGGAATAACATCTTTCTCTATTTCTTTACCAAGCTCAAAACTTGCCATCTCTCTTATTCTATTTACAAACATGAGGCTATCGACATTTCTGATCCTAGAAGTATACAGGACGTGTGTCGTGAACTTTGTAAAAAAAACATCTTTCTCTAATTCCCCAATGTTTGTGTAGTTTCCAGATATTATTCTCTGGATTGATTGTCAAGTAATTTAGATATAATTTTTCTCCAAAACAGCTGAGGGTCGTCTTAATCCTAGTTCTGAAGTATCTGGACCCTTCAGTAGAGGTAATTTGGGAAATTTATATTTATCTGTAGCTTCTCATCTGAAAGTACAAATGAAATAGGATCATAATAATCATAATCATTATGAAAACACCTATTGCTCTTGATTATTATACATTATAAATTTTGAAGCAAGATTTTCACCCAGTCTATGAAAAGCATACTTGTTATTAATGGTTGTTCAAGTAAGGAAGTGTTTTGTTCAATACTCAACTCTCTTTGATTCATAAATCAAGAATTACAAGGCTATTAATAAAAAAATGTAGAGTGGAGAAGAAAGAAGCAAACATTTGCCTTTTAATGATCTGGTTGGAAAAGAGACAATCACAGATCAAATCTATTGTTTGCTTTTTTTTTTAGATGCAGTGGACTGCGAGTACATAGAGACAGAAAGTTCTGATACTGCACTTCTCACAGTGGCTTATGTTATGGCAGGGGTGTGTGGATTGTGTCTGCTGCCAATTTTTGTTCTCTTGGCTCAAGCTAGTTGTAAGAGAAAAAAACAGCACGAGCGACTTCCACAAAGTGAGACTGCACATGAAGCAAGTGACACCGCAAACCTTAGAGATGATTTCTGATATAATTTTGCAATGATGTTTCAGTGATGACAGTACATCAATGAAATTACTCCACCATATACATGAATGGGTTTAAGGACTGGTAAGACTTGCATCAGTGGTTACTGGAGTACATACCATCCTGGTTTCCAGGAAATATTTAGTTTGAGAACAATTTCTTAACCTAAAATGCTGCTTGGTAAACAATGTTTTCCAATATTGAAGGTGCTATTGGCTGATCATTACAAGCCACTTTGGTCATGCTATACATGGCAATGTATATGTATGTACATACATGGTAGTTTTATCAAATTAGAATCAATAAAATGAATTATTCATAAAAAGGGCAATGAACATAAGATTTATGAATAGGTAGAAATTTACACTTTGTGATTTTAGAATATTTTAACCCTTTAACTCCCAAAAGTGATTAACATGTTATTTCTCCCTAGAATATCTAAACATTATCTAGCAAACAGGTCATGAGAATATTCAAACTTAGCAGTTAGAAGTTATCTTGATCTAACACCAAATGCTCCTAACTTATTTACAAGGAAATGTGTGGTGGCTAGAGGGGAGAATTGACTATCAGATTGCAGGAGTTAAAGGGTTAAGGTCAAAAATATGAAGTACAACAGCTGCCACTAACTGATTTCAACCACAAATGTAGTGAAGAATTACTTACTTTGGGTTGCATTGTTGTATGTAGTGATGTGAGTTAAGTGTCACATATTATAATCTCAGTGCTTACAAACTTACTATCTAGTGTTACATAACACAGCTGATTATAATTATTTTATTACTGCCAGCATATTTCATTTCCACCAACCAAAATTTTTTTGACAGTAAAAGTTTTTCAAACAAAAAGGGAATTCTTAGTCAGTTTCAAAAGACTTGAGGTTCTAAGTTTCCCTTAAGGGTTAGAGTTTCCCAATCAAGAACTGTTAGTTATATATAAAAAAAGGAATGTTGAAGGGTTATATTAAGTACTTATTTAGTTGGATTAGGTACTAATGATTGAATACATGATCTCATTAATGTTTGTCCTAGTTCATAAATTCAATAGAAATGCTCAATAATAGTAGTTTAGAAGATATTGATGATGTTGATGTCACATGTTCGGAAAAATCAATAGAACATCACCATATATGTAGAGAGAGCAAGTCATTTTTTATTTGAAATGCTATTTTTTAATAAAAATTTTATAATAAAATACAGTACTGTTTTAGTTTTTATTTTCTTTTTACCTAAAGTCCAGCTTCTTCTCAGATGATAAAAGTTTTAATTCTACAAAAACCACTCAAGATAACCCCACTGAAGGTTCAATGATCACTGTCTTAACTTTAAGAAAAGTAAATTGTAATGAAAATCAAGTGTTATACTATTTCTTGCAGGACAAAAATGAGGAAATAATAAGTTTGTAAAAACAAAAATCATTGCATAGAAGAGATTTTAAGCTAACCTAATAATCCCAAGATTCCAGTTTTAGTCTGGTTCACAATTCATAAAATTACTCTTAATAAATAAAGAGCAGTTAAATTTAGCAAAACTCTTTACAGTGGCCATTTTACATTATCATCTCAGTTGATAAAACCAAAATGATCTTGTTGTACTCCCCCACTGATGCAGCACCACAGTTTTGTTAGAAACCTACTTCCTTTATTCAAAGACCAGGTTAGGCTTATTGACAGAACATGTTAGTTAAGGAAAATATAGCGGACACTCTGTACCACATTACACCAAAGAAACTGAACAAAACATGGGTCTTGCCCTCATCTCATAACAAACAAGAAAACTTGATTTATTCAAATATCAGTTGTTACTGGTAAATTAGGCAAGCCATTTACCTTCCATGGCTAATTATATGTTGAGTGATGATTTCAGTGATTCTAAACTTGGCATATAAAAATCTGGTACTAAATTCATATTGTCTGGACTGACTGAGGTCTGTACATTTTCAACATCTTTAAGGGATGAGATTCCTGTCAGCACTAGAACAGTCCTCAATCCACAGTTGTTTCCAAACATAATGTCTGTGTTCAATCTGAATTGGTCAATATATAAAATAAAATTGGAAAACAACAAAAAAACAGCGGCAAGTGAGCAACAATGCAGAACTTGAATATGTGAAAGGTATAGGGAATTCCCTAGAGACTATCCAACCCCAAAACAAAGGCATACTCCAATTGGCTGTCAATGTTTTTCATGCCATTGTGCTTTTGAAGGGAAAACAAAACAGCTACAGAAGCTGCTCCTAAAATAATAAATGACACCAAATTAATGCCAGGAGTGTAGTATGTTTCTCACTACAGTCAAATGTACCTTAGACAAAGTGTCGTTATAGAGGGAATGAATGGGACCATTCCAAGTAATCATAAGAAGGTGATGATCTCTGTCAAGAAAGACTTCAGAGAAGGTTAACCCTCTCATTCCCATGGTCTATGTGCCACGCATTTCTATGTTGGGGGCCATAAGAATTTGGCAATACCCGTAAATTAAAAAACAATATCCTCTACTTGGCAAAGTGTGGATAATGTTAGGATAAATTCCTTATGGCTCACTGCTGGGAATCAAAGGATCAACTTGTGTTATAATAAACTTACCTGTCTCCTATCATACAAGTCTTTGAAGGGTCAATAGCATGCCTGGTTAAAAAAAGAACATTAGCAATTAATAATATGATGAACAATGTTTACATACCTGATAGCTAATTTAATACACTTTACAAATTAAATGATGTTACTATTAATATTATTTACCGTGATTGAATACACTCAAACATGACTCTCTCTGGTTTCCCTATCACTTTAGCTTTCCTTCTAGCTGCTGCTTCCACAGAAATCACCAAGCAACCTGTCCCTGAAATTCAATTATTATTTTTTTGATTAATTCAAATGGTAATTACAAAATTATTATTATCATTCAAAGTCTTTGGGACATTTCTGATGGCAAGAAAGTAAAAAAAACCCAGCAAAGAAGACTGAGAAATCTGTAGGTTTTTTAAACCAGATAAAATCTATTACATTCTAAATTTCTATCACTAATCTTGTAAAGAAATAATGTGTGATATCATCAGCTTACAAAAAAAAAAGGAAAATGTGATCACCTGGAATAACCACACCATTCTGGTTGAATGGAAACCTGTCATCTAGATTTGTGGCAATGAACAAACAGGAATCTTTGGCAAGGTAACTGGCTGCTTTGATGAGCTTGTGGAAACTGAAGTGCTCATCAAATCCACAGATAACAGCTCCAACCTTAGACAAAACAAGTGAATCTTTAATTGTCATTGGTAACATAGACATAGAGCTTCAGCCCTTAATCATGTCAAGATATGAGACCCAAAGATAGCAAAATAACAAGAATATTCTACATCTGGGAAAGAATAACCCAGTGAGATACATGTTGGGGACATTAATAAGATAAACTAAAAGTAAAAGTAGTATTCTCGTTACATATACCTCAGGGTCCAACTCAATGAACAGTTTAAAAATGTAAGCCACAACAAGAATTTTTGAAAAGGTCAAGGTCACAATATAAGAACAAATACATGTAAATAGACAAATTAAGTACAACAGAAAAATATATCAACAAAGATTTGTAGACATATGAAAAAGACTATCATTCAGTTATTTGTGGAGCTCTGTCTGTGGAAATTATTCATCTCCCATATGTCATTTGAAAGATGGATGTTCAAATGAGCGCATCATTATTGGGATACCAGAATATTTTGCAGAGACAATAATTATTCACCTACTTGGGATGTATTTCAACCTACAATGTGTGCACAATGACTTTTTCCTATAATTTATTAATTACTGGCAACTTTAGAATTTATCACAGTAAATATGATCCAACCTACACCAGAACCAGTATGTTGAATATTCATGGCATCAAGTTCCTCCACCATCCCTGTTGTGCCAATCGTAAAAACTTTTTTTTCAAACTTCAGAATCTCCTTTAAATAATATGCAACAGCATATGCTGTTCCATAGATTTCTTCCTGAAATAAAACAAAAAGCTGAAAACACCTAAAATAACACAGACATGGCTCATTCCTCAACTGAAAAAGCAGTGAAGAAGTTAAGAGGATAAATTTCAGCTGGTACTCAGATTATTAAGTGAGGTGGAAGAGGGTAAAAGAGAAGTAAAAAAAATGATGAAAAATAGGAGGAAAAAGAGAGAAAAAGGAAGTATGTACTAATAATGTGTATTGATGCAGTAATTATGAATATGTCTGTGTTTAGAACTTGTTTATTCAGCAATAGAGAGAACAAACATTAACTAAAAAGGATAAATTTGCTTTATGAAGTTCAGGATAATAAGAAAATTTTTCCATTTTACCTCATAAGCTACAATTCCAAATTTCTCAAATTTCTTGAGATATGCCATTCTTGACTTGGAGCTATTATTAGTAGCAAAAAAAACCCTTTTACCCTAAAACAAAAATTGAATTGTTAATTTCAGTCAAAACAAAAGAAAACTTAAGTGCATGTAAACATTACTAGCTTGATCAAACATTTTACCATGGGCGGAGGGGTCATTTCATGGAGAAGTATGCTGGAGAAATCATTTACCATTGAGTCTGATCACAAAAGTTACATGTAAAAAAGTATTATTCACCCCTTTTTGAGATCAACAATTCCACAACTAAGCCACACATCTGAACTAGAGGGACTGCCCTAGTGCACAGCTACTACACAATCTATTTCTCCAAATATTGCAAAAATAACTAATTAAGTTCAAAAGGCCTTCCTGTATTGCTTCTTGGTGTGCTGACAGGTTAGTAATGGATGGAAAGACGATAGAAAAGTTGTTATATAAAGGGTAAGAGGCCATGATGCTTAGCAACTTCTAAAATGACAGCATTTGTAGGACAATGTTGGAAACAATGGGTTACTCTTTAAGCTTAAAACAATTCCAGTACCATAACGTCATATTTAATATCTGTATGGATTCAGCTGCATATTAGTCCTTAACTAATATGCTGGTGGGACTAATATGCAGTTGATCACACTGCAGTGATCGCTTGACTGAATTTATTAAAGAACCTAACGTTAGAAAAAGACTAAATAACAGATTGAGAAAATAATCCTTGTTTAGAAAAAAAATTAAGTCATCGATCGAAATACTTCTTCTCACCAATCTTCGAAGCTCTTGCAAAACTTCCACCACTCCATCTAGGGGGCCAGCTTCATTCCAAAGGACCCCTTGGATATAATGAGATTGAACATGATTTCGGTACAATGATACACCTAAACACCATTCTAGCTTGGTATGTCACTAACCATCACAATCAAAGATAAAAGTGTCTATCGAGGCTATAAAATTTCTGGCACCGGTTCCCTCCAGAAGTTGACAACTTTTGCAAGTCATCTTTGCCATTTTGTCTCTTTGGAGGATGGCCGCTGGTAACTCACTTTATCCATCATTACCAAGTTCCGCTCGGTTGCAGTTCGACGTTCCTTCCCAGTTATTCAAGATGGCGCGTGGGGAACGGCAAAGTTGGAGAAAAATAATATCAAGGAAACTTGAAGCGAGGGATCGAGTGGAGTGGCATTGCTTTAGAGATATCATCAGGGAACGTAAGTGAAGACTTCATCGTTGTTGATAGGAAATTGTACGTTTGGTTAGGATTTAATCACCAAGCATACATATTGTATTGCTGACTTTGACGAATCAATAAAAACATAGGAACTTTCATCCAAATTTTCTCCTGTTTTTTTTCGAACAAGTCAACATAAATTTATCTTGTCACTGACAACGATCCAAAACTCTTTGTGGATGTGAACTATTATTTCTTGTAAGATAGCCCAAGATAGGAAATATTTGAGCCTGTAATATGACAGTTCACATCATCTAAGTTCATGTACCATCATGAGTGCATACTGAATTATTGACTAGTCAGATTCAAGTTCATGATAAATCATGTTCAAACAAATCAAATCCATGGATCTTTGACTATTTCCATCTTTAAGATTTCTCTGCAGTGTCAAGACTGAAAAACAGAATCGAAGGAAGGACAAGGGTTTTTACTGCAAATATAGTGAAAAGTGAAAGGCTGAAAAGAGCGAACCTCTAATTGGTGAATTGACATGGGAAATAATATGGTTTTTTCCGGAGAGCGAGATATTGAGCAGATTTTTAAATTACATTTGGGTCGTTTTCACAGTTAATAGATGTTTCAGCACTAATTAATGAGATCACAAAAGGTTGAAAGTTGCATTGCATGAAAACTTTTACATTTGTGTTATTCTCTTTACGTTCATCATACAAGGGAAAGGATGAATGATAATTTTTTATGGTGTTGTGGTAGTAATATTTATTTTGGGTATCATATTCTTTTACTGATTGTTAGTGGTCTTCTTTACCCACAACTAAGGTGTATTAAATACTCTGCTTGTTTTGTATTTTGTCTATTTTATTTTAACAGACAACAAGTTATTTGAAAATGCTGATACTGCAAAATCAAGAGTTGTTCAGTTGGAAATACAAGTTGCTCAAATTCAACAGGTTACAACTCCTGATGCATTTCTGTTTTTTAAACTGATTGGAAGTTTTACATTACCTTTATTTTTAATGAATGGGTGGCCTTTTATCTTATTGAGTATCAGAACAGTGTGAGTGGAACTTAAATTCCTTTATTATTTTACAGGAAAAACTTGAGCTTCATAGACGTGCTCAAGAATCAAGGTAAATTATCATAATAGGAGGTAGGTTCAGTTGAAATATTTGTATTGATTAACCTTTGTTCACTTGTTGTTCATTATTTTAGTTCAGTTAGAGGAGGGGCTGGGGTTGTTGTTGGAGGATCAGAAAAAGTAGCTTCCCTGGAGCAGAAGTTGTTCAAATTACAAGAGGAACTGACAGAGCTCCACCGTCAGAAAGGAGAGGTTTGTCTAATATTAATATCACCTAACCAGTGTCTAACACGTGGATTAAAGGAACTCACCAGATTATTAATTTACAAAGTATTATTTTTTTCAACTGGAAATATGGCATTTCAATAGAAACATCTCCCTGAGGACAAAAGACTAATCATAATTAGGAAAAAAGGGAAGGGATTCAATTGTTTAACCTTCCAACTTCATGGTTGGAAGGTTCATTAACTCTTTAACTCCTAAGGGTGACAATATCACCCTTGAATCACACATTAAGGTCATGAGATTAAAGATAATGACCACAGACCAAAGAAGCTCATGATTGTTAAACAAATTTTCCTTGTCGGCACCTCAGGAAATGTTTAAAGAACAGTAGGGAGAATATGCAAACTGATGTAAGGGTGTAAAGAGTTAACTAAGATACAGATAATTTGCAAATAAACCTGGCCAAACAGCAGATTCATACCTTACAACATTTTTTTTTTAACGTCATGTTTTGACAAGTCAAAATATTTCTTATCAGAATGCGCAGAAACTAATGGAGCTCAACAATACATTGCGACAAAAGGAGCAAGAACTATTAGCTAAGGAGGGAGAGTGAGTACACATGTATAGCAGGAAAAAATTTGTATATTATGCCAAGAATTCACATTTTTGACTTTTAAAATTTACATCATCATAATACCAGACTAAGAATGGAGAGAAAATGAGAGAAAAAGGGCAAAGTTTCTCATTCCTCAGTTGTGAGTTTCTTAATGACTCCCAGGAATTCTATATGAACATATATATTGTTTGTTGTTTTCCAATCAGATTGCATGACTTATCAAACAATTTAGAAGAAGTTGACAGGGCAAGGCAGAGACTGGAGCAAACAGTTACAGAATTGGAGGCAGCAAAACAGGTACACATTTAATAAAGGTTTTGTTTGGTTTGCAATGCAGAGATATTAGTAGTCTTTTTTTTGTATGCTACAGCATGCTATGGTGATGCAATTCTAAGCAATGAGGTACAAACTCAACCTTTTTAAATAATTTCCCAGTTTTCCCATAGTACCATAACTGGGCCACATTTTAAGTAACTTACAGTAAAGGCATTTTATCCATAAGTTATCCATCGAAGTGTATTTTCAGAACAAAATATTTAAAAAGCTTGTAGTAAACTGTGGTTTAAATTATTTTCTTGAGTAAGCTTTGTGATTGATTCTCACTCTGTGTTTTCTCTGGATTGATGTTTTCCTTAAATTGTAGATGGTAAAAGATGAACACCAAGCATTACATCTTGCCTACGTAACATTGGATGAAAAATATAGGAAAGTACAAGCAGAGAATGAAGATCTTGTGAGTTCCTCACAGTCAGAATTATTATAAAATTTTTATTCCTTTGACCCACACATTTTCAAGCAGTCCCACTTAATTAATTAATTCAGTTAGTTAATATTTTATTGATATCAAACATTTGGTTTAATTCAACATCGATTTCAGGTAACAAGGTGGATGGCACAAAAAGCAAAAGATGCAGATAAAGTAAATGCTGAAAATGAATTACAGTTGAGGTGAAGAAAATACCTTTTCGTCAAACAAAATACATTTCCTCCTTTTCACTAACATTGTAGACTCTGTGTCAGCCTTACAGGGCGTAATTAAGAACTTTCAGTTGCAGAATTTATAAAATATTCTGTGATGTGATTTGTGAAATGATGAAACATATTTTTACATATTATTTTTACTTTCCTTTTAGAATACGACATGAAAAGCAAAAAAATCTACTAATAGATGCAGCAAAAGAACCAGTAATTGTAAATATACCAAGGCAGGTTACCCTTTGTAATGTATACTAGACATTAATTAAGTGAATATTATAATGTTCCTGTGTTTATCTACTATAATAATAAGGAGACTGTTACATGTAGTAAGTAAACATAATTTATAAAGTAACAGGAAATAAATGGAATACCAGAGCAGGACACTGTTAGATTTATTGTTACATTAAAGGTGATTAATAGACCTAAGATGATGATATACCTGAGTGAATAAGGGAAACTCTGTAATCCATATTGCTTGGATATAGAGAGAATGTAGAACTTTATCTCATTAATCACTAACAGCCTCACAAGGTGAAATTATCAAAGAAAGACAAATAAGGAGAGGCTCTATAGTTCATTTTCAATTTGTCTGAATTGCAGTTCTGATCAGCCAGGCATACCTTTCTGTGCAATAGTATCTATCCCTTCATTTCCTGATAAAAAATTTGTGAGTATGAATTCAAGTTGTTGATAATTATTAATATTAAGTTATTGAAGATCATTTTTTATATATCAAACATAAGAATTAATAAACAAGGGTCATAATACCAATATGCACATGAATACATAGGGGTACAAAAGATTAACAAATAACCTAGAAAACATGCTTTTCTTAAGGTCTTTTTTTCTTTAATACACTTTTGTTAGGTAAAATAGTTTTTTGTCAGTCAGTTTGTCCCTTTTTTCTCCTTTCTCGTCAAGTTACAATTTAAGGTTACTCTTGTGAATGCATATCACTCTCCTTTACTCAGATCAGCTATTTCTGTGTGTTTTGTAACAGGATGCACATGAGGGTGAAGTAAATTCTGCCAGATTCAGTATTTCAGGAAGATTATTTGTAACAGGTGGTGCAGACAGAAAAGTTAACGTCTGGGAACAAGTAAATGGTAGGAACCATGATATCTTACCTTCAAATTATTTCTCATTTATATTGAATATTGATTATTATCATACGACCCATGCAGCCTCCACACTTACTTTTATTGAAAAAAATTAAACAGAAACATGTCCTTATTTGAAGGCCATACTTGATGGTTTGGGCAAGGCTGGAAAAAGCTATATCACCGTGCAAGATTTGAGCTAAAAGTAGAAAGGAAGATTTAAAAAGAGCAATTGTAATAAAATGCTTTTGATTCAATCAAGTTTGGCAGAAGGGGAAATTGTTTTGTTATTGGTCATGACACAGGGATCTTGAAGAACTTGGTCTGTACATTATGACCTTGAGCCCAATATTTTCTGGCCCAATCTTGCCACTGATTCAGTAAAATACACAGTATTTTATCTAATCAGTAATTCTCTATAATTATATAGTGATTAAAATATGATAACTTGAAGTACTTTTATTAGTTTATCTAATTTGTGATACTTGCTCCTTTTTTTTATTTCAGGAAATTATACAATAAAAGGAGTTATGCATGGTTGTAATGCTGGTGTCATGTCAGTACAAACTGACCCTCAGGTAAGGTTATATAACTATTGGCTTGATACCAAATATACAGGGCTTGTATTTCCATAGATAGCATTGCTATTAATATTTTTATCAACTGTTATATTTTATAGGAAAAACTTGTCCTGGCAGGTTCTCATGAAGGAACTTGTAGAGTATGGACTCTTGCCGATCAGAGACTTCGAGTGAGATTTTTTAATACCATGTGGGGTTTTTCTCATCCAGTAATTGCTATTTTTTCAAAGACATTAACATACCAATGGAGGCCATGATTATTTTGATTGTTTTATGTGCATGTGAATAAGCCTTTTCAGTCTTTAATTTTGAGCCAAGTGATTTCTTGTTTCTTACAGGCTGATGAGGCTAGGAAGGCTAATTTGCATGCACTAAGAACTTCATTTCATAAAAGAGGTCTAGAATTACAAATACTATGACAACAAATGCTTCACTTCTTAAGCTGTAGAACATATTGAATTTTAACAAAACAAACAACACTCTCATGATGGTGATTAGATGTGCCACCTAAAACATTACTTCAATTTAAGATGGTGCACTTGTCCTAAGAAAAAAAATTTGGACTCAGCACCTGTAAGAATGTAAAATTTTGTACAGTTTCATTTTGCAAGTGGACAAATAATTTCTGCTAGGAAGGTTCAATACCATTGCTTCCCCTTAGAAAATCAGTAAAGATTTACAAATGCTCAGTAATATAAAAAAGTACCTTTTGGAAGGATGTTTCTGAGCTAGATTTGAGGCTTAACTGTAATTATTTTTAATGTTTGTGTTTATATAGCACACCCTCACAGGACATTCGCAAAAGGTCATGGCAGCCAAATTTTTTGGAGCAGCAACTAAAGTTGTTTCTGGAGGCCATGACAGAACATTGAAAATCTGGGATCTTAGAAGTAAAGCATGTAAGTTGTTTTGAACTCAACTTTTTCTTTTTTGAACTAAGGACCAGATTCTCTCGGCTGTGAATGGCCCTCATCCTAGCTGTTAAAAAAAACTAGAAATACTGTGATGTAACAACTTCATGCATTACAAAAGGTTTCATTCACTATGCTCAAAAGAAGAAAATCTTCGAGTTCTATTTACATGTCTCTAGAGCATTATCTCATGCCTTTAATTTCAGGGAGCATAAATTGCAATAAATTTGAAAACAAAACATACCATCTTCTTTAATTACCTTATCATGGGGCATCTCTGAATGAAATATCAGTATTTCACTTGGATGCTGAGGGCATATTTACAAAATGATTATTGTAAACTATACCATTAATTTTCTTCTTTTTCTCAGGCACACGAACAATTTTTGCTGGTTCGAGCTGTAATGACATAGTAATCAATGAGGGATTTGGGTAAGAAACAAGCTAAAAATAGTTGTTGGTTACAACTGACTCCAGTTCTTCAAAATTCATACATGTTCCATTTCATTAAGTATTGGTTGTTTAATCATTTTGTCAAAAATTGACTAATCATTGAAAATAATTTTGCCATCATTGAGCTGGGTAGTTACTGACAGCAATTTGCATTACATTTTCAAACTTTAATTAGCAGCTGAAGTGAATGAAAACATTATTCCCACTGAGTATTGTTTTTATTCTATTTAGTTCACAAGTGGTAAGTGGTCACTTGGACAAGACTGTCAGGTTTTGGGATGTCAGGTGAGATAACTAATAATAGTGATCTACAAAATTGAAGTAAAAATGACGTGGTATGTAGAAAATAGATTAGACAAGTAAAATTGCAAGCCATAAAATTCTTTGTTGATTGTACAGTATGTGCTCATAACTGGAAGTGATTTGGAGAGTTTCTTACCATTCTTAAGATTTGATGTTGGGTTTTTGTATTGTATGATATGAAATAATGAAAAATGAAAGTTGAATAAGTTATATTATAAAATAATTCAAACAGTACGCGTGCTCTGATTGGCCATAAAACCATTTTACATGAGCGTATGTAAACACGGTTTTCGTTCCCCTTTCATTAGTTATTTTATAAAAGAAATGTAAAATGGTTTCCGTGTTTACATAGACTGATGTAAACACTTGGGAGGTTGGGAGAACACTCGATAAGCTGGAAACCACTCTGCTTTGCGTCATGGTTTCCTACACTTATCTCGTGTTCTCCCAACCTCTCGTGTGTTTACATCAGGCTATGTAAACACGGAAACCATTTTACATTTCTTCATTAAATTAATAAATACAGCCATGTTATTTTACAGTATCTTTTTTTTAAAGATTACGGTATTGTATTTATTCATAATTATTATGGGACCCACTAAATATTTCGTCTCCAATTTGCAGTATTTGCTTTATATGAAGATAATTTAAGAAGATTTTTGTGGAGTAATGATAGTCTTTTCATTATCTTAATATGTAACACTCTTTGTAACATTTGTAAACTACATATGTAGAGGTTATTGCAATGTGATTCAAAGTTTTATAGATAAGTTTAGATGAATACATTTGTGGCATAACTTTATTTTGTTCTTCTTTCCTTTTTGCATTGTGATGATTGTGTTAAGTGTGGAACTTATCAAAACACAATTCAAGCTGCGCTATTAATATGATTTTGATACAGAGTAGATATGGTGCTTCTTTCTCTAAGAGTTGAGGGGCTGGTTCTTTACACCAGTCTAACCCAAACTACAGTTTTATGAAAGCAGTGGACCTTACATATTCTCTATAAGAGGCTCTTTTTGATCAATTGAAGGTCATTCCACCTCCAGCTTTTGGCCCTCTTGACACTGTTCACAAAAATAATTGTTCAGACAAAAGATTCAGCCAAATTAAAAATGGTTTAGAATGCAGCTTTGTTGAACAATGGCTAAACTTTGTTTAAATAACCAACCCTTGAAGTTTACACTGAAACAGTTGGCCAACTTACAGTAGTATATAAATTAGATATTATAGGACTGAACCATCAAAGCTGATCATTAAGTAATAGCAAGAGTCAAGATGTTGATTTGGGTTCATGTTTGTTTACAATTATTTGCTTATCTGTGATCATTTCATGGAAATGAACAACATATTCTGTCTTACTGACAGAATCTGACGTGCATAACTTACTTCCAGTCTACATGCAGGCATTACCTCTCTTTGGTATTAATTCTACTTAAATTTTTTTTTCAGATCTGACAATCAATCAAGTGTTGGAGAAATCACACTACAAGGGAAAATAACATCATTAGATTTATCCCCAGGTTGTTGAGATTTGCCACGTTACGACATTTTTTTTCCTGCCAACTAAAGTAGACAGTCTCTTCCTACAGCATTACTTAATAATCTCTTTGAGTTCCTTCTTAGTGAGCCCCAGCATTGTAGAAAAGCAACAGAACAAACAAGTCCCTTATCAAAAGGGATAGTTTCACAATAAAACATTTAGGGAATCAATGAATGTTTGAGTTTCAGCTCATGGGGCCATCAAAACAACATCTACAAGTTGGTGAATTAGAAACAGCAATGCAGTTAGAGTAAGCTTCCTTTTCTGATATTTCTTGACAGACATGAACTACATGTTGGCAAGTGCAAGGGATGACACAGTTAAATTGCTTGATTTGAGAATGAACCAGGTTATGTCAACATGTAGGTGAGTGAACATGATTAATTCACAGAATTCTACAAATTAACAAATTATTAATTTGGAGAAAAATTATATATGATGACTTTTAAAAACTCACGGGGTGTTAAATCTTGAGTGCAGTATTTCCAAAGCAATAATTATTTTTAAATTTTATTTCCAGTGCGGACGGTTTTAAAGTTGCAGTGGATTACACAAGGGCATCATTCAGGTACTTTAAGTACATGTACAGGGCATAAATTGTCTTACATTAAGATTTTGTCATGTGTAGGTTTTGAAAGTGAAACCAAATAGTCCAGTTAATGTACTTAAATAACTAAGAACTGCTCTTGACTTAAAATTTGATCTGTTTTCCATTTCTTCAACCAAATAGTTTTGAAAATCCCTTAAACATGTATGCTAGCATCAAGATGTTATGGTGACAACATGATTTAACTTATTATTAATTTGTAGTTGTATTCACATTATTTTTCATTAGTCCTGATGGCCAGTATGTCATATGTGGCTCAAGTGATGGTAGTATTTTTGTATGGAATGTAGCCTCTGCAAAACTAGAAAAGGTTCTTAAAGAACACAGGTTAGTATTTCATGGAAGTATATTTATTTACATGTATTAGGTTTGTTTTAAAAATACTTCTGTAAATTGCACAGCTAAACATCTGATAGACTGACTGACTTACTGATTCACTAAGTCACCGATTGACTCATTCACTGAGTCACTAGCTTGCAGACTCAATGACTCACCTGACTGACTGTTTGACTGATTTCACTCCTTTTGTTTTGTTGTGTGATGTAGAGATCCAAACATGCAGTTTGAATAGATCACTGCAGTTTATTTTGTATATTTCACAGAAAATCAAACTTACCACTCAAAATTTGTAATTTTCTAATGACAGTTCCTCAGTGGTTGTGTGTGCCTGGCATCCTGATGGATCAAGTCTAATCAGCTGTGATCGTAACAAGCGTGCAATCATCTGGACAAACAGATACTGAAATCACTCTCAAACTGGATGGCATAGCCATTAGCTCAGTATTGAGTTACAATGCACACCATTTGTAATAAGTGCCAACAGTGCCATAAGTAACTGAAATAAATGAAATGGCAAGCTTCAAAAACTTAATACATCCTGTTTTGAAGAAGAATTCTCTGGAAAAATTGTTGTGTATCTAAAAGAGACATATTAAGTTAGAGAGGTCTTAAAACAACAGCACTTTTAGATATAAGTAGCATGTTGTAAAATAATGTGTCTTCTTACTAAATATAGAAGTTACACATGTCACTCAACACATATTTTTGAAGGGTCAAAATTCATTAAAAAGTGTATAGGCTTTCTTTAACTGCACTTCTCCTTTCAAAAATATCTAGTAAGAATAAACATGTTCAGTTATAATTCTAATCCTTTTGTTTAATGTGTAGTTTAAATACCAAAAAGGTGTTTGTTTATTTGCAGGCAAAGAACTTTGGTTTTTGTGAGTAAGGAATTTGAAGTCAGCCAACACATACATTTGAGGCACATACATTTGAGGCTAGAAAGACAAATTTCTTCCAAAAGGAACCATCTCAACCTAATATGACTGTGTTTTTCAAGGAAATATCCTAACCCTTATTTGTGGGGACTTTTTAATAATGAGGTCATTTTATTAGAAGTGCTATATAGAAAGGCACAATTTTCAACAAACCACATCAGTTTAAAATTGAAGTTTGTCCAAAATAACTGATAGGAAAATAGCTTTAAGTTTGAGCCAAAGAAAAATTTGAGTTGAAAAAGTTCCAACCTACTCAGGTTAGGGGCCAGGTTAGAAATTTAATGTTATTTTTAATGTTATAATTTAAAATATAGTGAGATGTTTGAGAAACCAGTAGCTTAGAAAGAAATGTCAAATTTTGCAGTTTGCAATTATATCATTCTTATTTAAAAATCACCAGAATGTACATACTACAATGTAAGTGTAGTAAAAATAAGAATGGTCAAATAACAATGAACCCCCTCCCTCTCTCTGTCTCTCTTCCCCCCCCCCTCTCCCAGCCAACCAAGTTAACCATATTATGCTGTTCAAGCCATACTGAACACATTGCCACATTGCTTTTATTTCTATTTACCGGTATTTCTCAGCTGGTAGGACTTGTAAATATAATTTTTGTAAAAGAAATAATAATAAACTGTTTTGTGGACTGGTAAATGGAAACTTGATTTATTTCACTTGAATTGTTTTTTTTTTTTGCCTTGTGTTTACCAATATCCTCATATTGTTCTCTATGTATTATTCTTGTTTACAGACTTGTAAATGACAAGATAATTAATTAGGTTTAATAAGGCAAGTCAAGTAAATATCATAAAAAAGGTTGTGGTTATTCATTGTGGTGAATAACAATAAAAGCAAAGTTTTTTTGTTTGTCTCATGATGTAGTCACGTGTGATGTAGATCACAACATTTCAACTGCATACAGCTAGTCTTCTTCGGGCGATGAAGAAGCCTGAAGAAGACAAGCAGTATGCAGTCAAAACATCACGATCTACATTACACGTGACTACATCATGAGACAAACGAAAAAACTTAGCTTTGGTTGTCAAGTAAATACATTTCCAGCCCTTGTGTAACATTACAAAATTGAAGGTAACTTTAATTCAAAGGGTGTTATTGAAAATACCTCAAGGAGGCTATTTACAAAAGTTACTTAAGACATCTGAGCTTTGTGATTGGGAATTCCTTAAACCATCACAGAGAAATCAGCAGCAAATTCACCTATTTCATTTACTCAGGGTGATTCTTAATAGGCTATTATTAAAATTCAAACATTGCTCAGGGGCTAGGGAAATAAAACAAAATAAGTTTATGATTCATACCCTAACCTCAGTGTGACTTCTTTTGTTTTATTCCCCCAAGCCTCTCAGCCAATTTTGAAGTTTAGTATATAAAAAATGGCCTATTATCAACAGTAACTGCCTCCTTAACATTAACTTTCATTTGTTCAACAATTCTGGTCCCAATTTGAATTATTTAATGATCCCATTCTATCCCAAGTTAAATTTTCTTTTACAGTGACAATTAATTGCACTGTTTGACAAGATGAAGGAAGGAACCATGTCTGACTGTTAACAGAGACATCAATGTTGGCTACTGTACTAATCTCTGTACATTTATACATATTGTATAACCTATGTTAATAAAATAATATCAGATGAATGTTTTTTATTGGTCAAAATAATCAGCTATTTACACTTGGGTTGGAATTGAATGTAGCAGGGTCATCTCCTTTGTCACTATGATCATGACTATGTCTGTGGCCTTTCTTTTTGTGGCCTGTGCAGTAAGAGTTGTGCTTACATCCATCATCCTCACTATCACTTTCTGATGAGGAGTCTCCAAACATCTTGGGCTTTGAATAAATACAACAACCTAAACAAGGGTGGGAGAGAACAAACCTGAGTCCCAGTTGAGGATTCAAACCTTTGAACTTCTGATTTCACAAACCAGTGCTCTACCAACAAAGCTGCCTAGAACTCACTAGTAAGACAAGCCATATCCTGATTCAATGTGTGTTAGACATCTTGTGTACTACTAGGATCAGCAAAGTATAGGGAAATTTTACGTAAATATATAAGGAGATGATGGATTGTCCAATTAAGGTGTAGAACAAATAATGATAGGTAAAAATGAAGAACAACGAGAAAGAGGAAAGAACTGCTTATTGAGACCCATGTTCACTCATATTACATTTAAATAAATAACCTTGTTTACTTCTTACATTTTGATGTTTTCTTTCCCATAAACTCGTTATCTACTGCACTTTCATCCCATTGCACCTTCTTCTCTGATTTGGGTTTCTTTAGTTTCAGTACAAGCCTCTGTTGCTGTGAGTAAAATTTGGCCTTGCATTAATATTTTCCCATTGAATTTAACCTTTACAACTTTACTTTAATTAAAAATGAAAGAGTACATTAATACCAGTGTCATGGAATTAAATTAAGTGAAAATCAAAACGTGTTTTGGCACAAATTTTGACCAGGAAGCAGTCAGTAATAGCTCAAAGAGGACATTCAACAGGGGCAGGCAATGAGTAATAGGTGTTGTTTACACCATGCTAAGGGATACTTGAAAGCCTACAGCACAATAATAGATGGCTTGACAGCAGTTTGAAATTACTCTTTTGTGTCAGAACTTGGAAACATGATCTTATCAACCTTCAAAATGAGCAATTACACCCAAATGTACCTTACATAATATTTCAATTAGTAGCGACAGGAACTTGTCAGCACACAGTGAGTGCTTAATAATATTTGAAACCAGTATTTCATCTATTATTTTTATTCCTTTAGCAAGATGCTAATTTTAATTTTTTTAAAGCTACTTTGAAACCATCTAAACCTAAGATTTCTTTCAGATTGCAAGATACAGAAGAATCAATCCGCTGTGCCAGTGGTTTAAAAATTATGGTAAACCTGACCGATTTCAAGAAGAATGATTTACTTGAGACGATGAAGTATGCAGTACATACCAATGGACTCTCACTCGTTTCCTCAATAACTGTGACAGTACTACCACTACTACTTTCGGGACATTCTGCCATGTTTCCTTCGACGGTAAGACTCGCTCACTTACAAATACATCGAAATACCTAGCTTTGCGACCAAGCAATGTGACAATCAAGGTATGAATAGTAGGGTAGGGTAGGGTATGGAACGTAATAAACCCTATTTTGTTCAGTTGTATACTTTTTCATACAATCGATTCTTTCTTATTTCCAAATGCTTCCTTGTTATGTTAGGACCACTATTTCACTGAACGTAGGTAATCATAGGCATAGACAACGGAGGACACTCGGTTATTAGTCGAATAGTTTTGCTGTACCAGCCACTGACAACCCCCTCCCTTCCGATATATTGTTATTGTTTTGTTTTGTTTTGTTTGTTACGTCGTAGAAAGTGACGATTTAAGATGGAAGATTTCTTTGATGTGTTGATGAAGAAAATCAAAGAGGACGATTTCTACACTCTGATAGGATGTGACGAGCTGGCAACTGCAGAGCAAATTAAAACTGAGTTTCGACAAAAGGTGAAGCTACTTCATCCAGACAAGAACCCTGGCGATGAAAACACAGCGAAGTTGTTCCAAAGGTTTGTATAATTACGGGGTTTAATTAAATCATGATTCCCATGGATAGTCTCTTCATTACTTAGAATAGTCAAGGCTGTTGATTTTAACAAAATAAGCCAGCCTTTAGATACTTTCAGGAGATTTTTAATCAAATTTTTGCAGAGGAAACAGACGTAATTTGGCAAATTCTACTACTAGGTGATTTTCAATGCGGGTTACCCTGGTAGTCGCCGTTACAAATTTACGAAGATTGTACTTGTGGCAGGTGTATCTTCTCTTGGTAGTTTTTAACTTAATAGTTAATACCTCATGATGTGTTTTAGTCCGAAACAACATGTACATATCTTTAAACTAAAAGAAGAAAGAATATCGTTTAGTATTTTGCATAATATTTCGTATTTGTTTCACAATAGGCCACTTTAAATTATGCGTTGGAGGCGTTAGGAGGGCGTGTCAGTGATGCAATCCTTGTGCGTCACAAAAGGGAGATACGCCAACATTCTCAAGTTGTGTGCACTCTCACAAGAGAGCATCTGAGGCAGGCTAAGAAATGATACTAAGGCACTGCCAATTTTAACAAGTACTCCCGGGGAAATGGCGCAAACATTCAATATCTACCTTTTGGCACTGCCGATTTTAACAAGTACTCCCGGGGAAATGGCGCAAATATTCAATATCTACCTTTTATTCTCAGTTTACAAAAAAAAATTCTATTGCAGATTGCAAAATGCCCGTAATATTCTGTGCGACGAGGAAAGCAGGAAAAAGTATGACTTTTGGCGCAAATCAGGAATAGCTGTACCTTATGATCAATGGATAGAGCTGAGTGGAGCAGCACATTCATCATTACACTGGGCTGCCAAACCAAGAAAAGAACTCATGCTTGACTACGGAAAAGGTGAGTTACAACTCAAGGGTCTCCTCTGGCATGGGCAACAGATAACCTTTTCATGGGGTTTTGAAAGCATCCTAGCTGAAAAAGTATTTAATCCCTATGTCAAAAATTCTGTTCCTACGTTCTGTTCAACTACAAATAAATTAAGTAATCTTGGGAAATTGCAAGAGTGCTTGAGAATCTTCTTGTAGCTTTACTTAGCTCTGTCATAGTCATTAAGAGTACACTCTGACTTTCTGAAGTTTTTTTTGTTTATATTTTTTACTTTAGTTGAAGAAAATCCTCTTGATGAATTCTTTGATGGGAACCTTAAGGCAAAACATTTAGTGTCACCTAGTGATGACATTTTCAAAGTCACAAAGTTGCACAAGAGACATGGATGGGGTTCCAAGCAAGGGAGACACATCAGCAAGTTTAGAAGATATGAGATATAGGACAAATTCGCTCTCAATAATGTAAGTAGTTTGGACAATCAGTACACCTGATCATAGAGGAAACTAGAAAGGGCTTGGTATGAATCAATAGTTTGTGAAATTCTGCAACACTGAGTATGGGTTGGATAAAAAATTTTTGGCAGGAAACATGAGATTGTCAATTCATGGCTTTTTGTTCTATCAGAATTGTTTGAAAATTTCAAGGTGGATCAGGTTCCTCTACTGCAGAACTTTAAAAATTATTTAGTAAGCTAAATAGAATATCATAGTACAGAAAGAGCCATCTTACACTTTCTCTTCTTAAGTGGAACATGAAAGTGAATCTTGTCAATGACTGATTGTTCCCTTATTGTTTCAGGCTAAACAGTTTCATGCCATGTATATTGCCAACACTAAGTGACTTGTTCCAAGTCATTCAAATTTTTACTTAATTTTAAGACAGATTTATCTTTTTGTTGTGAATTCTGTTTGCCTATTTTGTTTTCTACAATGTATTTATTATATCATTCAGAGTTAAAAATGTGAATTCTTAAGATTTAGAAGATACTCATAACTTTGTAAGTAGTGTTGTGTAACATGAAGGAAAGAGTTTGCAAGTCTTGATCAGAAATGCAAAAGACATACAGATTTACTAACAGTCTGTATAATCAATGAAAATAAATCTCATTTATGAAAGTTTCATTGATATTCCAGTTGTCTCCTTACACACCACTAAGACTGAAGTTTGTCTTTGTCTATAAAGAAGAGTCCTTATGAAAATGATATAGGGCACTTAATCTAATCTACTTTTTCCCTCACCTCAGGTTCCTGTGTATCCCCTCTACACAGGTACTTTTCGTAAAATTATTCTATTTGAGCAGGACACCTTATTGATTCCTAACAATTAGACATTGTGGCTTTTGAATTGAACCATTTGATGAAGTCTCTGAAATAGGTATTGGGTATGTGCTGAAATAGTTAAAACTTGGTTCTAGTGTCTCTGTTACTAAGTTTTAATAATATGAGACCTCTTACAAACTGAATATGCACTTCTGTCCACTAAAATCTTAAATTTTTGCTTAAGAAATGTAATCCATACTAAAAGCAATGGATGCTTTGTTTAGTGCCTCCCTTATGGTTAGAATGGACAATATTTCAACACCAATTCCCAGCAAACCAGATTCCTGGCACATATCAACAACCAACAGCCATCTGTTTGAATCCATATTGTCACTCCTAGTCTCATTAAACAATGCATCTGTCATCACAGTAGATAAGTCATCAGAGCTGCTCTGAGAGAGATGCTTTAACAAATTCACTAACATCTCAGGTTTGTTGTCATCTAAAAATGCTCCAACAACAGATGCAAAACTTAACAACCCAACCCTGCCATTAGTACCAGGACTACTGAGCATAAGCTTTGCTAGTTCTGGAGAAGGATTCCTCAGCAGGATTGATCTAAAATCCTCTGTTGTGAACTTTGCATGCTTCTGTGCATAATTCAACATGATTGAGAATTTTCCTTGCCTGCAAAGACAAGCAACAACTTGATGATGCGCACCAACTTTCATGTAAACAGTTTGTGCCAAAGGAATACAGGTGCATGAACATTTTTTAAGGCATTTGCAGAAGTTGCAAAAAGCATCGCCAAGAGGAATAGAAAATGTTAACTTCTCCTGAGCAAGCCAATGGGTAGCAAGGTCCAGACGTCCATCACTGAGCGCACAGCGGATACATTCAGAAGACATAGCTCCCGTGAGAGGTTGTGCCGCTGATGCTGTGGCCATCAAAGCATCACAGAACATCAAAAGAGGTGACACCTCACCTTCCTTACATTCAGCTTGTTTGAATTTGATCATGGTTTCATAAGATCTCAGAATTCCCATTGGTGAGTTGGCAGCATGCATTGCAGCCAATTCAAACTGTCCAAAATCAAATAGATTGTTGAAGTGATCAACATACTCAATCAAAAGTTCTGCCTCTTTCTTCTTTAGGGGATCATCCTCATCAAAGCTTGCAAAGAACTGTAAGGAATCACTCTTCTTCCCATACTTGCTGTTACCATAGTTTGCTAGCTCTCGAAATATAACATCAATAACATGAACATCCTGGTCTGGATTATCTACCACTGTTCTTGCTGCCTGTTCATGAAATTAAAGTAAGTACAAGTTATAACACTTTTAATCTCTCTCAGAGATTGTCTCTCTTTTTAGGGCAGGTAATTTAGTGTTAACAACTGGGTTGAAAACGTAAATTAGCCACCGTAAAGGGTAAAAAAGCTGACGTTTCGAGCGTTAGCCCTTCGTCAGAGCGATGGGGTTGCTCTGACGAAGGGCTAACTTCGTCGATTGCTCTGACGAAGGGCTAACACTCGAAACGTCAGCTTTTTTACCCTTTACGGTGGCTAATTTACGTTTTCAACCCAGTTGTTAACACTAAATTACCTGCTATACTCTCCCACCGACGCAGCATCACAGTTTCTTTAGAAACTTACCCCTTTATTCTCTTTTTAGGGACTTGCTAAGATTAACTAATTATCTCTGTCTTACATGATCTGAATCAGCCTGTACTAGGCTGACCTGATTACCCAAGATTGTAATGCATTTTTTTTAAAGCAAAAACAGAGTTGACATTGTAAGATACAACATACTGAAATTTTGGTACTACAGCAAACCAAGCTGTCTGTGTTGTTGAACAAAGACTTGAACTGGGCAAATACTGCTGATAAATATCAACTCCTGAGAGAACTTGAACACACAACCAAATAGAGGTGGGGATCTTACCTCAACAGCAACCTTTAGGGTCTCACATCTTTCTTTTGATTTCTCATGATTGGCAAACACATGATCTCTCACATTTTCCTTCTTTGTGAGCTGTTGTTTCAAAATCAGTTTCTGGTTTCTCTCAGCAAACTTAGATTTTGTAGCTTCCTTCAGCTCCCATACTTGCGCTTCTAAACTAGACAGCGTCTTCTTCAAAGTGGGTAAGTCGGTGAGATCTTTCAGAGACAAGCCAGGAATCAGAAGCCTTGTCTCTTTAACAACAGAATACATCGATTTACTTTCTGCAGAAGCCAGCCTCCGAGCTCTCTCTGCTCTTATGATGTGGAGTTTCTCCCTTAATTGGGCATTATGCTTTTTAAGTTTTGCCATTTTCTCTTCAAGTTCATCGCCCCTCTGGACAAAATGCCTTACATTTTCTTTCTCCGACAACAGAGCCTTGAGCATTCTCTGAAGATAGATTGTCTGGCTCTGACCTCTCTCCAGAGTATCAATGAACTCCTCATACTCTGCTTTAATCTGTGACAAAATCGACTTGTAAACCACAGCTTTGCTTTCAATTAGTTGATTAAATGCATATTTAAAAACCATGAACAACTCTTGCCGGCTGTGCTCCGGGTGATACTTGACTTGACGAAGCTGATCAGCAATATTCCACTCAATAACTTGCAGATCAGCACCAGAAGAAGCCTTCGAGAAAGAGGTTTTCCTCTCTCGAACATCTCTCGCACTGAGAGGTGAATGAGTTGACACTGGACTTGGTGATCTTCTGGGTTGAACTACTCGACGCATGATACCCTATGAAGAACAAATATGGATTTCCAAAGTAATAGAATGACCTTTATTCAATCAAAAGTCAGTATTCTCCGCCATGTTTGTTCCTTCTCTCCGTTGCCACAGCTGACTTTTTGTCGCCATGCGAGAATAAAAGACCCTCCCTGATTGGTTATTTTAATTAATTGACCAATCAGAAGGCGACTTCTTCTTGAAACGGTTGTGATACTTAAGTATACTTTATTGGTAATTGGATCAACAATTTACTAATGATCGAAGATGGCGGACGAGAGTATCCAAGCTTTTCCGACTGTGTCTTCGGACGTTACTGAAGAAGAACAAAATCTATCTTTAAAAGAGAAGATCAACTTAGTCGACAGTGAGATTCGTAAGCTATATGAGTTTTGTGTCAAAGCCGGTTACACTCAGCCACAAATAGAGCAATGTGCACAACCTTTACTTGCTGTCCAGAGCAAGGAAAAACACATTCACTGGCTTAGATTGTTGTTTTCATTTGCTTTGCTGGCGGCATTGATCGTCTTCTTGTTTTATTATGATCCCACCTACCGTAAAATCTGTATTTATGGCAAGTTCGTAGCTATGAAGGTAAGGCACTATTTTTTCAGTATTTCCATGTAGGTTTTGTATACGCCTTAAAGGTTTGAAATTTACTTTGCTTTTGGCTTACCAATATTTTCCGTAACGTTTGAACGTAGTCGAAAATATTAACTTCTAGAACAGGGAAGCTTTAGAGGCAATCTTTTTCCCCGAATTGTGTATGTATGTAATTGTTTCCTTTTTAACCAACAATTGTATGGACAATGAAGTGCTGTTACAGTAAATTATACAAATAAATTTTGCCGAGTGTTTTTCACTCACCAAGGTAAATGACTATTTACTTGGTTGGTAATGGATATCTTAAGGTCTTATTGGGAAGACTTCTGTGTAATCCTTTACTTTATCATGTATACAGTACTTGCAATAAAGAAAACAATGGTCAAGATTACCTTTGAGACTATGATTTTGATTTAGAAAAGTATGGGGTTACGCAGGAATATTTCTGTCTTAATTCTCATTTTCTTTCTGTGTAGAAGACCATTTCATATCTTTCTAGGGCAAAGCCAAAATTTACTCAGCTAAAGTTTATCAACCAAACATTTCTTTGCAAACAAAAACTTCTTATCCTAATTTTACCAACCTTTTGTTTCTTTTAGGTTCTACCATATTGGGACTGGACAGAAATTTACAACTATGAATGTGTCATTGACAACCCTTACTATGTTCAAGATCAGCTAACTGAAGAGGATTGTAATGTATGCAAAGATTTCCAAACAGTAATGAGGGTAGCTAATATTAGTACCAGCAGAGTAGCTGATGATTTTCTTTTTTCCAACATTCCTGTGATTGTCACTGATGCTATGGATGATTGGGAAGCTCTTAAAATGTTTCATCTCAATTTCTTGACTGAGGTAATCAAATTGATATTTTATTTAGCAAATGTACAGGAGTTTTACTTTAGTTTAGTTATCTTTCTTGTTTATGCCTTTTCTTTGTTTTTATTTTGTCAAGGATATTACTTTACCCTAGGACTTGCTGATATCAGCATTCTGTTTCTTACTATTTTATTAATGGAAGTGATTTTACCAACCAAAATCACTGATTCTTTTTGCGTGAAGATACATGGGCAATATTAATGAAGAAAAAACTTTGAATCTTGTCTTCAGATCTATGAAAACAATGAAATTTTAAAATACTCCGGCACAGAATGCCAGTTTGAAACAACCTTACCACAGTACCAGACTCCTCAGCAACTTCTTTCGGCTGTTAAAAGTGGGGAAGAACAAAAATTTCAGGCCTTCTGGTAGGAAAGTATTAACTGGATTTTACTGTTGTGCTATAAATTGTAGAAAAGTTTTGCTAACCCAGGCTCTATACAATTCTATGGTTTGCAAAAGTTAGGTCCACAATCCTCTCCCAAGTCCCTTTGAAGGATCAAAAAACTACATTAAAAAATAAAAATCAAATCTGTTACCCATGCAAGAATTAAATTCCTTCTTTAATTACTGGACTTGCACATTTATTCCAATATCAGGGAGAATTGTGAGAAAGAAGCTGCCAAATTGTTTAGAAAGTATTACCGACGTCCCTACTTCATGCCACCTATGACAGAGGGAACAGAAGGGAACTGGTTCATAGTCTCCTTGGGAGAAAACAAAACTTTAAGTGTGAGTTTTCATTTGCTTATCTAATTATGCATTATGCTTTTGAGCTGTTTGTAATGTGGAGCAAAACTCAGTGTGCCACTTTGTAATATTGTACTATCTCAAAGAAGTCTTTTTATTTGAAATATTTTCATTTTTGTTTTTCAAATCTTTTTACTTTTTTCCAGGTAAACTGGGATTGCTCAGCCACTTGGATGGCTCAGGTATGAGGTGAAAATCTGTTCAGTTTGTGACACAAACAAACGTAAAGAATAAGAGAATATATTAGGACTTTATATTCACATAGCAATGCAAACTGTTTTACAGTCATTGATAAAAATATTATTATGACCCACTGGTCAAGAAATTGAATGAGTACTGCATAACTCAATCCTCATAACTGCCTTTCTCCTTTTTTAAGGTCAAACAAACTGCAAAATTCATTTTGAAACCAAATGAAGTTTGTAAAAGTATTTGCCGTAAAGTTTTGGTGAAGGTGGAACCAGGAGAAGTTTGTGAGTTTAAGAGTTTTAGATATATGTATTCAAGTTCAGCCTCTGTTTTATCAGAGTCATATTTAAAATGCAAAGTTTTGGTTCAATGAATCATGTGCCATTCTTGAATAAAACATATCACTGTGAAGACCTACAACCAATTATTTAAGTGTTCCATTTTTCAGTGACTGTCCCTAACAGCATGTGGAGTGTGTCATACAAACCAGTTGGAACCGATCCAGTTGTTACCTTTGGTTCAGGAGTAACTTGGGATTGAAGTTAATCTCTTGGCTTATGTAATTTTTCACATGTAAATTTCTCTGACACCAATTAAGTTGTAGATTAAGAGGATTTTCTACCTTAAATCCAGAGGGAAAGGAAATAAAAATGTGAGCTGTAACAAATTGTTGTTGTTTTACTGTTTTATGAGTACTTATGTTAACTCTTCAAAGTAATTATGCTAATGAATTACAGAGCGGTACCAATAACTAGCACAATAACTATTCACTTATCTAGAGCCCTCTATAAACTATAGTCTCAGTGCACTACTGCACAACTCACAGTTCTCTTCAAATATCCTTGAAACTTATTGATATCCACACAACTCTTCTCCAACGTAGCCTTCCACACAGCTGACAATTCCAATGACAATAAAGAATCCCAACGATTCGTGCTCTCCAGCTCTGTAATAACGCTAGCTTTGCTCTCAAAGAAAGGCTCAATCAAGAAAAGGCTAACTTTAACTAATCGCAACTCCTTCTATATATTTTTCAAAATGTTCTAGAACATTCCAGAGATCTGTAATACAACTATTTTTAGTAACATTACATTGCTATTACATAATAAGAAATTATGCTGACTAAGGGTCCTAGAAAGTTCCATTAAGGGTTCTCAATGAGTCAGCATGACTAAGCCTTCTAGAAACTTCCTCAATTTTATATTTAGTAATTCCATAACACAACACACTCTCCATAACACTGTATTTCCTTGAATTTGCATCCTGGTTCCTAACCCAAATATGGGGGGAGCACTCATTGGAAGGAGGGTGGTTACTTGAGGGAGGGAGCCTATTAAGAGATTATTAACCTAAATTGATTCTATTGTAGTTGAAGCTTAAAAAGTTTTTAATAAAGTGACAATAGAAACAGGTTTTCCTTTTATCCCAACTATTTAAGAGAGTGAGGTAAGAGTGGGGCACTTGTAAGGACCACCTTTCAGTGTGAAAGGGGACAGGAGAACATAGAACCACAACTCATCAGTCTGACAATCCTTACAATTACAATCTTAAAATAGCTCTTACTTGGTGTAGAAGACACATTATATGTCACACTATTGTTTTCATTGTTTTCTTATTTCTGGTTGTGATGAAATTCTACTGTGACGTACTCTGTGTCTTCTACACCAAGTAAGAGCCTTAAAATATCTGCTGAGGCTCCAGTAACTGCTGTTAAAGACTGTGATAAACCACAATGAAAATAGAAGCTTCGGGTGAAGCAAAAACTGAAAGGCTCTAGGTGAAGCTTCAAAAACACTAGCGTAATCAAGAGTTATTTTAACCACGAGGAGTTCTCACGAAAAGTTCTGTATACAAAAAAACTAAGGCATGACAGGATGCTTTACGCAATACGACTAAGAAGGCGTTACAGCGCTCATTCAAGAGGGGTGCGTGCTTGGTATTCTGACCTAGAGGGTAGGTGCTTACTAGAGCGTGGGCGCTTATTACTGGGATACCTGTGTTAGCCCAGTCATAAAATGCCTTTGTTTTTTTTGTAGTCTTTTTTTTTTTTTTCCTCCGCCACAAAATGGAAAAATTGCGCAATAGTACCCAGTGGTCATTGGGCTCTCAACACCGTGACAACCAACTGTGATCCAATGAAGTGTTCACATGCTGATCACGCGTGTTATCTTGATGATGATTGACGTTGTCATGCACAGACACGGCCGGGTCACATGACGAACCACGGGACGTATAAAACGTATACGTATTTGACGTATAAAACTCTTTTGTCAGTCGTTTTATATTTCAACGTATTTAGATTACGATCACTCGGAGTGTCACGGCGCAAACGCTCAAAATACTTACAGACGCATACACAAGTCGTATTGTTCGCGGCCAATCCACGCTAAAAGATGTTATTGAGCGGTAATTTTCGAACGGATTGAGTCGCCAACGCTTGAAAGCCATGAAAGCCTTGAATGCCTTGTATGCCAAGTATGCCAATGTCTTAGTTGAAAAACGTACACTTGTTGTAAAAAGCAAAATCTGAAACCAAACTGCATATACTCTATGCAATCTGTTGAACAACACTCTTACCGTGAGACTAAAGAACAAAACTCTAACGGATGCAAACTGATAGTGAAGAAAGACGGCATGTTGGATTCACTTGATGCCAGGGAACGTAGCTACGATAACAGTGTACAGGAAACGAAATATGGTCGATTTACAACGATAAATATTTCGAAATATAAACATTTTTCTCATAAAATCAATAAAAATTACTCATACCCTGTGTATCCGTTTTAGTTTCTGGCGATTTCTGCCGTTTTAAGCTTGCTTTACTATTACTGTTATTCACGTCATCTACTTTTATTACGTTGGTAAAATCTGTACAGACATCACACCAACCAACTCGCGCGCAAAGTAAGAAGACTATATTAAAGGCTTGAAATTATATTACGATCGATTTTCATCAAGAAATGGGCCAGGAATTTTCCACAATAGTGCAAATAATGGTGAAGGCTGATCGCGGAAAAGCGATTGCGTGACGCTCGGTAAGCTGTAAGATGACATGTTATTATATACCAGACGTAAAAACTCTTCAGATTCTCCGTCTGCATTTTGTACCCACTCTGCAGTCTGCAGTCTATATTTTGTATCCGGTCTGCAGTCTGCTGTCTGCATTTTGTAGTAACAGATATCCGTGGCACCAATACAGTTTATTTTTGGTGACATTTATTCGCGCAACACACATAATTTACCACAAAATACCTGTGTGTGAGGTAATTCGACATTTTCGTTCTTTTCCGCGTTAATACTCTTCTTTCCTTTGGTAAGAATGTAGACCACTAACAATGTTTCAAGTAATCACCCTACAAAAAATAACTCTTGCATGCAGAGCATGCCTGTGTTTTGAAATGGGTGTGTGCCTTAGCCAGACTTGAGCTCACTATTTCAGTATACTAGTCCGACACCCACAGTATCACTACACTTGATTCCAAGGATCCAGTACTATCCAGGTATCCCAGTTACCCTGCTCACAGGGTCTAGTTGGTGGAAATATGGTATCCAGAAGTTGAATTTTACAATATATCAGATCACCCTTTACCCAAAGCTATGTTTTCCACAATGCAATCAGTCTCCTTTACAATTATTTGTCTCATCACAAAACATGTTTGGCGAAAGAGTGTGTTCCATGGTAAGACTTTGCGACTTAAAAAAGAATTGCTAGAGGCGAATGCGATGCAGAGGGAAGGGGATTGGGGTTGAGAATTTGACTATGGTTAAACATTAGTATATAGAATACATGAAGCATCTGGCAAAGTAACTAGATACCGCAGTTGTAGCATGGCCTCAACTGGCCACGCATCGAAGCTACTTGTCTGTGCAAAGCAGTGGAAATGGGTAGACACAGCTCAGATTCCGAGGAGGATAGACGAAGGAAACACAGATCTTCGAGGAAACGTCACAGAAGAAGCAGGAGTCGAGAACGGAGGAAACGGTCGCGGTCTCGAGAGAGAAAACGAAGTCGATCTAGAAGCAGTAGTTATGAGGATTACAGGCGTAGCAGGTTCGAAGAGTAATATATTTACTAGTTATCTCTTCCTTTTATAGATCAAGTCAAATTAAGAATAAATACCCTGTTAATTCTCTAAATTTTCTTATTTTCTCCCGTGTTTCTTAACAGATCAAGTCGAAAAGGTGAGGGAACTATTTCTGAAGCTCCATCCTAATTTGCCAAATTTTAAGCTTAAATATATGATCTTATTTAAAACGATGAGTAAAAAGGCTGCTTACCATCATATACTTGCTATTTATAGAGGTGGAAGTGAAAATGATGTTTTATTATTTTTCGCACTTATTTTTAACCTTTGAAGTACAATCACTTCCTCAACATTTTGTAAAACCAGGCTAAATTGTAAACATAAATTATGCAGTGTCTGAAATCACAGTTTTGAAATACTTATGAGCGCTGGTTGTTGTGTTTGTTGAGGAGTAGGAGTATCATTGGGTTCCTCAATCAGTTCAAAGAGGGACATGGGGAACATGCTGCTTGTTTCCCCTTCTTAGCCACCACCCTCCCCCTCTCACCTTAGCTTTCCACCACCCACCCCCACCCTAGCTCTCCACCACCCCCTTCACCTTAACTCTGCAATCTTTGTAATGTACATCTAACATGGTAGACCTCATAACCTTGACCTTTGCAATCTATGAATGATATTATTCTACTACAGGTCACAGATTTAGTCGATCAAGCAGTAGTAGAAGCACTAGCAGTAGTTCCAGTGGTGGTGGTTGGAGAAAAAGTAGGAAAGATAAAAGGTGAGGGATGGTTGCATTAAATCGTGTGATGTTGGTTAATTTTTTGATCCTAAATGACCTCTAAGCAAGGCTGACATGGTACATTTTTTAATAAAAAAGGTGATGAATAAAGTAACAGAATTTGTATTCTCTGCTTTTTTGTTGAATTGGCCAAGACTCCAAAACTGTATCTTGTGACATGTATCTGTAATACATGAACCAAAGGTAGACAGAGTGGATGGCTACTCATGATAGTTTTTTTCTCTGAATACATAGGGATTCAAGTTCACAGGTGAGTGAGTTTTTAAAACACATTTCAAATGTTTTTTGCTATAAACATATCCCAACACAAGGAAAGAACTGAAAGTAAAGGCTTATATTCTGTCATTATATTATTAACTGTGATGATTGTCCTTTCTTTAACATCTTAACTATGCAGTCCAAAAATGCAATTTTCATATCTCCTCTTTAATTGCTGAAAAGTAAGCAGGAAATTTTTTAGTAATTTTTATATGAGGTAGTTTAGGGCAGCGACACCAAAGCAAATCCAAAATACTTGGGATACTTGATATTCAAACTCTTTTTATAATACAAAACAATCAAAGCAAGTTCTTTTTTAGAGTAATCCTCCATTCTTTCCATATCACTACTGCTTCTAAAATTGCCCTTTGCACCTTTACATAAAAAAAATTGTTGTCTTACTTCAATTCATTGTTACTTTCTTAAAGCTCACAAAAGAAAAGACTAAAGCAAAAATGAAGAAAGCTTTGGCAAAAGCAGGTAAGCTGTGATAGCGCAAATACATTTATTTTTCACCTACACATTTTAGTATAAAACTGTTAATACTCTTTTCTTTGACAATTAATTGTACTTTAACAGAATCTAAAGATGAAATACTCAAAAGGGATAAAGCTGCCAAGGAATTAAGTGAGTTCTATTACCATTTTTTTATTATAAGTCTCATTCAACAATAATTGCTTTCTCTTTGACAATAACGTTTATTGACTGCTTTATTTAACAGGAGAGTTTGCACCTAACAAAGACACAATATTGCAAATAGAAAGCAGTGAATTTGTGCCTCAGTCCTTCAGCTCATCTTCTGGCTCCAAAGGTCATCAGGTAACATTATACACTTAATGTATGGTCCCGAGGGAAACAGTTTTGTTTTCCCAGGAGTCCTGATGTTTCCTGAGACAAAGACGAGGGAAACATCATGACTTGAGGAAAAACAGAACTAACTAGTTTCCCAAGGGACCATACATTAAGTCCTTTGTTACATATTAAGACTTTCCCTTAAACAATCATGTGGCAAAAACATGCTGTTGTATTCGGCACACAGACAACAATTGTATCCTGGTCAGGATACATTTGAATTTGATCAGGGGCACATGACTAAGAATCAACCAATCGCAATGCTCATTTTGTTGAGTGAAAGTCTAGGTATATAATAAAATCTCTTGACAGCCTGAAATCTTGCTGAGTATCTTAACAGTTTGTAACATTCATGGTTTTTTTCATTCTGACAGATAGGTGGGAAAAATATTGATGGTAGCCATGAAGAAGCTATGTTTGGTGTTGGTGGAGCAGTGCCAGAAATTTCATCCCCAACTGTAGCTACAGCAGAGTTGAAGACTGCTCCTCATTTAGTTATATCACAAACTTCTGATAAGGATGGACTGTTTGCTTCATGGGTGAGATAATGAAGCATCTATTAAGATATGTTGATACTCGTGTTTGAGATGTTATTGAGAAAATTTTGTCTTCGTCATCAATGTCTGTAACTGTATGATTGTGCAACACAATCAATTTTAAAAGAGCTTGTACAGTGTATGACTTACTGTGCCAACTTGCTGTTGTTGTAGAATTCATGAAGTGACTGTAAACTGACTGACATTTATGAATGTTTACAGCTTTCCAAGCACTTTACATCACAATAACCCATGGTGTGGTAAAAGGCAAATAAATCTGAACAACTGCAAACTCAGTTTTGTTTCTCTTAGTGCAACCAAGATCTTTATGACATATATTTTACAAGTTTATAGATGCACTCTTTGATTATGGATTAGACTAATAAAACCATGAACTTGGACAACATTTTTTCATGGGTATTTTGCTTTTCATTTCAGCTTCATGAAGATGAAGAAACCAAGACATCTCGCTGGATAACTAAATTAAAAAAGATGCGACAAGAACTCTTGGCAGCCACCTAGCTACAATGTTAGTGGCTATATCCTTTTTTTTCTGATAAAAATACATTCAAGTAATTTTTGTATCAGTATGTTGTATTGAATATAAAAACAATCTATTTTTTAGCTTGTTTTCCTAAAACAGTGTAACATCTTTAATAAGCCATTCCCCTTGTGTTCAACACAAAAAGTTTTTTTGGCAGATATAAACTCATGTAAGATTGTTTTCAAACTTTTCAACCATTTAGCTTATGGTAACAAAAGGACTCTGACTCTTTCTCTTCATAACAACCTATATCTAGAGTACAAAAACGTCTGGGTCATCACAATGTTGTAATAACTTAACTTAGTAGTATTGTAGAGAACTTAAGCAATATTTTTACAACTTTAGAACTTATCCTAGATAAATTTTCCTATGAAACCTTGTGTCAGTCTAAGTCAAATCTTCTGCAATACAATTGTAAGCCATAAAGATGACCTGAATAGTGATAGGTTTTTCGAAACATGTTCCATATCATATATAGATAAGTTCCGTATATTTATATCACAGATGTGTGTTACCTTTGTCAGTAGAATACTTGCAGAGAACACTAAAACATGTTACAGACATTATAGCCTCGATGGAAACCTAGTATAAACTTCATCTAGAGATATTCTCATCGTTTCTAAAATGTGAACTTTGTAAAAAAATAAAATTTCGATTAACCTTAGCTGTTGTCCAGTTTTGATTGATAGTGGTGGATTCTATCAATCTGTAATCGAACTATTCAGACGGAAAACGCTAACTGGTCTGTAAAAGAGTCACTCATGTAACAATTTCTTTTAAAATGGTCAGTTGGTACTTTGTTTTTACATCAGCAGTCGTAATCACACAGCATATCTTGAACGTAAGCATAGATGACGAATGCGACATACATGGTAAAAAATGAAATACCAATTTTTCTGTTCAATTTAAAGCGCACGCTGGCGAAAATCCCAAGGGCTACGATCAAAATGAGAAGCAAAATGAAACCAAATTTGACGTGTGGCACCACTACAAGACTTCCTGACGATAACATTTCCTGCAAGAACATATAAATTGAAAATTAATTGAGAGTTAAAAATAAAGAAATAATACCGATATGTGGAAATTTTTAAAACAGAACAATGATGAGAAATTCACAGACTCAGGAAGAAATCATGTGCTAAATATTTTTCAGGGAAGACGCTCCTAAAAGAGAAGAGTTAAGTGTATTCTTCACTAAAGTTACCCTAAAAAACATTGCTTTTGTTTACCATCTTTTGATGGCAAAGATGCGAAAAGTACGAGTTGATGTGAAAACTCCATTGATTTTACCTCTTCCTTTGGTGTTAGAAGTCGGATAGGTTGAAAGTTATCAATTATGATCCTGATAACAAATGGTAAGCCAATACCAAGGTTGATGTCAAATACATTCGATCCAATGGCGTTTGAAACGGCCATATCTCCAAAACCATCCCGTGCGACAATGATGGAGCTTAAAGCATCCTGAAAAAAAAAGCAAAATAATTTAGTTATGAAATTGATCTGTAATTAGCACAACGTTTGAGTGTTTGACCTAATCAGAAAAGGTAACAGGTTCGTTTATCTGTAGAGTTTTTTTTATTTGAATGTGGTTTCGTTTGATTACTTCTCTGTTTAGAGGTAGCTTTCCTTACTAAGTCGAAAAAAGTAAGTCTGCACTTGAGCCCAGTGGCCCACCCAATCGGAGCTTATCCCTTACCGTGAAGCGAGTAGGAGTATTACTACTTTCTTCCTCTCTCCCCCCCCCTCCCCCATGGGATGCTAGTCCAGCGCGAGGTTTGGGATATGGCACGCTAATGGGTTTGATCACCAGTGCTTAACCAAACAAAGCGTTAACAAAAATGCACGTCTTTTTTTCGAATGTCGATCGATGTTTTTTAAAACGTTATTTAATATGCTGTGAATGAAGAAAAAAAAGAAATAATTGATAGGAAGACGCCTTAAAAGGAAAATTTTCCATTTCCAGTGTTAAGACTGCAAAAAGTTAAAACGTGACCACGGGATTCAATAACTTACCGGAACACTTGTGCCAATGGCTATGACTACCAATCCCATGGTAAACTTGTCCACGCTTAAGATGCACCCAGATCGTCCAGCCAACGTCACCATGCCAAAGCTCAAAATGGCTATCCAAATGATAGACATCGTGAAAGAAGCTAGGAAGTATTTGCGGTTGTGTGGCTTACTACAGTCGGGAATGGTCCATGTAAACATACAGATGAAAGGAAAGCTCACAACAAATAACACCCATCCTAGCGAGTACTTAAATGGGGCCAAAACGCCTCCTTCCTCAGGGTACTCAGGGAACTCTGCGGATACTGCAGGTAGACATGGGCAAAGTTTCATTTTTGCCTCTTCTTCCCTATCCATTCGGACATCATTCTTGGGGTCCACGACAGATTTTGTCTCCGAGTCATCATCCATAGGTACTGTACGGGCGTTTCCGTTGGCGTCCACGTGAACAACAGAGAGTGTAGGCTGCTGGCTCACAACCATTTCGGAACGGCGTCTGTACTCTTTCATCACTTGTTTCTGTGCTACTGATTTAAGCCTGATTTTTTCTCCTGGAGCAGCCAATCCAGCAGAACTCCGTCGATGTGCCTTAGGATTGTCATAAAGTTCTCTTAGTCCCGGAAACGATACTGAAAGCCGCGGCTTGACTGGAGATGTCGAGTGATGGCTGCGTCCCAGGGATAGATTAATCTGTTTGTAAACGAAGATCCATCGCAAAGATAGACAGGAATGTTTGGTTGATCGACTGTTTTTAAAGTTTTGTGTCAGTTATAGGTTCCCTTTAGTGAAGCCCTAATAAATTTGCTCTAAGAGCAGTAACCAACTTGTGTAAACTTGAATGACTGGCTGATGTCTTTTGTCTAGCTACAACACTTGTACCAAAAAGAAACACCCCTTTAGCCAGGCTGTGTACAATCACCCCCAACCTTCAAAGTGATTATTTTTAGGATTTGGAGTGACTGTTCATAGGCTACACTTTAGCACATCTGTCTAAGTTTCCTTTCTTTACCGCTAAGCTTCTTTCAGCTTCCATTCAACTGTTTCATCCCTGAAGCGCAACCACCTCTCGTCCTGTCTGCCTCAACTATCTACATGGAAACAAATGAACTTCGCCGAGTATCAACTTCTGAACGTCTTTTTTGAGGAAGACTTTTCCAAACATTCATGATTTCAGAGACTATGATATTTACGAATTTCAGCTTTCTAACTGTTACTAATTACTCGTTTATTTTACTATTGCATAACGTGGATAAAGTTACTGTTAATGACGAGGACAAATGTACAATGGAAAAAATTTATTGCTTGTCCTTATTGCCGTTAAACGAAAGCCCAGTCGTCCTATGAACACACTCTTTCCAACTTAGCCTTCTTTTTCTCGAACAGATTCTTTAAACTTGACTTAGAAATGTCTTGTCCATTTAGATGTAAGATTCAGAGATGCGAGAACATATACTAACTGGCTGTGAAATATGTGTTTATTTAAACTGATATCCAGGCTCCCGTTTACTTACAAATGATCTGGAGAGTTGTCCTTTGTTAGCATGTGAAAATCTCCTTTGATCACTAAGATTAGTCGTTAAAAGCACTTTTGAGTTAGCACCTTCATCTGCGTTACTTTCCTGAAAGAGAAACTCAACGTTTCAGAAATTCATAATGTTTAAAAACAGCTAGGTAGTAAAATGAGTCTCACTGAGGCTTAGATGAATTACTGTTTCTTCAGTTGTCTGCAAGGGGGTCCGTATATATCAAAAAAAAAAAAAAAAACGCTTCTTACCACAGGTCTAATGGGAGGAAGCTTTCCTGCAGGTACTCCTTGCCGACCTTGAAGAACAGCAACGGACGAGCTCAGTGTGTTGTGGTCTGACTGCACATCGATATCACTACTCACAAACTGTGTTACTTCTGTATTTTGTGGACTGACTTGTCCTCCCTTGTGTCTTGAAATAGAAACACAAAATATTTTTTGGCCTTCCAAAATTAAAGAGTTTAGGATATCAGCAAGCACTGTTGAAACCATGCATTTAGGTGAGCAGTCTGGACTTGAGCTCTTAAGAAACGTTTTACTTCAGTTATTTTATATTCTTAAGACCAGTAAAGTTTAGAAGTATATTTTAACAACAATCATGTTGCAATTTTTTTGTGAAATTCGCGTCTTCATTAGTTGTCTAGGTCAATAACTTATCTTATACTTGTTTTTTGAGAATATATCGATTTCACCATAGCATTAATAGGATGGAAAGTTACGAATAAAACAGTTTAAAATGTGTACAGAGTTGGTGTCGAGAATTCAAGTTTATTGGTTGAATATTGTTTGTTTTAAAGTATGGAATCATTGTTTATCTTGTGAAGAGTAAATTAAGAAATCACTCAAACAGTAAAACTAGAAGTAAGTTGTACTAACAGTGTATAGGAAGCCAATGGAAGTTCTTCGTCCCTTGGGAACATTCTGATGGTGACCGGCAACAAGAAATAAAGCTGACCTCGTTAGAAAGTGTTTATATCTATGAAATTTTTTCTCCTTTAGTTTCTATTTTCAAAAATTGTTGATTTTATAGATTTTAGACAGTATGGTATTCGTGCTTTTCTAATTTTCGGTGCATTTTTTACTTTTCTATAACTAAGAAGAGGATAATTTTCCTCATTCAGTTTGTTTCATTGTTTACAGTTGACGAAAAATAAGTACCACGAGTATGCGTCGCTGTAATAACCGGTTAGGTCTATATTTATTGTTATTTAGATAACCTTTACAAGCACCAATATGCCAGTTGCCTATAAGAATCATTTTAAACATGAATAATCTAAATATTTATTCATTAGGTTCCATACTCAAACAGTGTCACGTACTTTGCCCCACTCATGAGATCCATAAGCTTTCTGTTAAACTTCATCAACACTATGTAAAGGAAGTAAAGGGCTAACAGAATGATTGACTCATGGAGCTCGAACTTGCCATCCCATGCAAACCAAGAAAAAAATCCGATTGATAGGGCGTAGCAGATGGAGTCCCTTATAAGCGGTTTCCAGTCCAGCTGAAGAACCTAGGAATTGGAAAAAATGGTCAACTTCATTTGTAATTGGTTTCTAACAGGTAGAGTTGTCCAAGGCTTTAAATAAAAATGACTTGGCAACTACTATTGCCGGACGTCTATGTGACTGAAGCTCACCCAAAACGTAGAATTGCCTAAAGAGTAATTTGAACATTTTTTTCAGAAAATTTTGACTCTGTCAGTCTTCTTAAAAAAGTTTTTCAAGTAGAATCAAAAACCTTTGCGAATAGACTTCTTTCATAATGGTACCCAAGATAATTATTCTTTCATGTGCATGCGAATGAGCTTCGATTTTTCAGGAAAAATAGAATTGTTTTCATACATGACAAGAAGGGTTAATTTACATGAAGAAAAAAGTTTGTAATTGGGCCCGCCATTTATGGGAGAGTTCCACACAGATATAATCGCACACTCGAACGGATACTAGTTGTGAAAACTTAAAATGACAAACAAATTTTAAAAATATTACAAATATGGATCAATAACCCAAGCACACCTGTCCTGCCAAGGCCGCAGTCAAAGCAATGATGACGAGAAGGTTGAATACAGCACTCCTAGACATAACAGAGAGTTCAGCAGTGATATCATCGGGTATTAAACAGTATTT